GGTTCGAATCCCGTTGAAGCCCTGATTTTTTCAGGCTTCTTCTTTCCGATTGCTTAAATTGGAAAATTAACTGCGATGATCATTCTTCACTTTCAAATAAAAGAACTGTTGCCTAAAATGATCATGTCCTGTGTATACATCAAGATGATAAATTGTTACCGACATGTACATACAAATGTACCCCCCATCAGAAATGTAGCTGAGAGAAACCTAACTTACAGTGGCTCATAACCAAGCCCAGCTGGCTTTTCTGGCCTTTTATACCTTCAAAATTACTAACAAGTATTTGTTTTCAGGGAAACTGTAACCTGCATAGCAAATGTAAAATGGGAGATAGGGGAAGGAAAAGCGGGAATGGTATGACAGCCCCCGTCTTCCTCATGTGTTTGCCTCCCCCACCTATTCCCTGTTTATGTCTAAAACACAAGTTTGTGAAATTGGAGCTAGCGACAGCCCTCTTTCAGTCAATGAAATTAATCTCTCAGTTACAAATAGTTACATCCATAATGTGTACCACATGTGCTGTTGTTTTGTTTGATTACCAACGTTTATAGCCATTTCCCTGATAGAAATTAAAAAAGTGTGCCTATGAATTTTGTGCTAAAAGGTGATACCAGTTTTGAACTGTAGTAAAAAGAAAAACTCGTCTATACTGAAAACAGTTTTGGATACTTTAGTACACTTGCAGCCATAGACAAACAATAGGTGTTAGAAACAGCATGGAGATTTTCTTCCAAACTCTTCGCTAGTAATTTCTTGTCATCACCAGGTTTAAAGTTGCTAATGGTTGCGTAGATAGCTTTGAAGAATGGCTCTTTGGTGTTGTGGTATACTCCTCTGTTTCCGTGGATCACTGAAATGCCATTGTCCTTGGCAGGGCCACAGTTATTTCCGTATATACAGTGGTCTGGACGGTAGTTCCACTCACAAGTGTAAGTGTACAACAACCCTGAAGAAGACATTGAACTTTGTAAGGCCCTGGTACATGAAAATATTCCTGCACCTAAGCAGTTCAGACATCACATTATATTGCTACGATAACTGCTTAAGAGTGAATGACACTGCTCACCTAGAAGAAATCACACAATAAATTTTGGGTTTTGAATTCTTGTGGTTGCTTGACCCTCTTACAAGTACATATCCTGAAATAATCCTCATGTCATTGCTTATAACACTGTTAGTGTCATAGAGAGTACCTCAAAATCACAATTTAATTGAGTACAGATTTAAACTAAAATGTTGAATTCATGCAGTTGGTAAGTGTTCTCAAACCAAACCTCTGGGTAGCTTCTGGTTGAAAATTTATTTATTTAAATGTAAATTTATAAACTTAGGTCTTTTCTGGCTGATAATACAGACATGACTCACACTGTATGCAGCAACTATGAGTTTCTTGTTGCAGCCAGCAAAACTTACACTAGACACAAATTAGGCCAACTGTAAATTTTGTTTTCTTTTTCAACATGGTATCTTTCCAAGCATCGTGAAAAAATATAAAGTTATTAACAAATTTTGTTAATTATTAACATTAATTATTATTATTATTATTATTATTATTATTATTAAATGTGACAAGAAATAAAGACATGAATTACCAGGATTATCATGAAAAACAACATTCAACAAGTCTTGATCTCCCCAAGTTATGCTGAGTTTGTATTTATGGTATGCTTCAAGGATTTTCTCTGTCCAATTAGATGCTCGCATTCTTGTTAAATTCATGAGCATTACACCAGAGTTCACTCCAGTTTTTCCAAAAAATGGATGACGTGCAAATCTCGGATACCATGACAGTGCTGCCTCCTCATGCTCAGGTGCCATGGAAGCAAGCTGCGCAGAATCAAAATGTTTAAAATGGTTCCAAAGATCTTCCACTGGTCTGAGCAAAAGAACATCTGTGTCCAAGTACAGAATGCTGTCAACAGAATCTAGTACATCCTGTAGGGATTAAAAAAATTAATGCTACAGTTACTTAAAAATCTAGCTGTAGTTGATTACTTGTCCAGCACCGGTAAGTTTCTCAATTAGGAATTTGTATGGCATGTGCATTGGCAGTATACTCACTAAAAGAAAAAGTCTCTGTGCTGCACATGGCTTGAAAAGTCGTTTCCACTCCCCAGCATTTTCTCCAGGAGGAAAGTGCAAAGAGTACAGTTTGAACCTGACTTGTCCAGATTGAACAGTCTGCCATTCACTGAATATGTCTTTAAGTTCACCATGAAGGTGATCCTCGGCAACAATGTGAAACTGAACTGTTCTATTCGTGAGCAATGATGTGGACTTGAGCATCGTTGCAGCTTCCATTGATCGCTCTCCACATACCACAGCACTTACGTGAACAACAGGGTTTGGTGTGAATGTTCTGTGGAGAGAATACCAAATGTCTTTTCATAAGATAAAGAAGACCTTAACCAGTTCAATGGATGATAGGTCTTTTTCTGTACATTATTTTCAATAACCTACCTCAGACTGGATGAATAGAAAGTTTACATCTGACTACAAGCTTNTGGCTACCACTGATGGTGCAATAATACAGTTTGTGTTGATCAAGTGATGTGATGTCTACAGTAAGAAAAGAATCATCAATGACTGCTTTGGAATATGCACTGCGTTCCGACGGTAGTGCTAAGCAAACAGTTAAATTTTAAAAGCGCGGTTATAAGATCTAACAGATCTTCTTGTTAACTGAGATTTACCGACAACCGTCAAAGTAATGAACTTTTAACTAACCGGCGAGAAGAATGGGGCGAGGAAAAGTCCCATTCCTTTCGTCGGTTCGTTCCGCAGCCCTTGCCCGCGATACGCGACCCTAACAACAAGTGAGCCTCGCAGGTGGTCACATGTGCCCTCCCACCCCTCATTCAGACCCTCATTTAGACCCAGCGTGTGTATTTTAAAATTATGCATAATTGTGCAAAACGCTCCAAGGGAGCAAGTCGGCTCTGACAGGATTTTATAACTTATATCATACGTCATTTGAGTTTCTGTATGTATGCATGTATGAGGTGGTTACGAAAGTCTCTCTTAATATCCTTAGTCGGGATGCCTCAAAGAAGGAGATTTCGATTTCGCCGGTGTCCTCGATTTCGTCACCTGGCTGTTGTTATGATTCTCCTGTCATTCATGTTTTCTGCGTATGTCTTCGTTTATACCGTCCCTAACGAACGGAGCCGCGATGACAGCTTCGAAGATGTCGAAAAAAATCGAAAACCAGATTTCACGGAGACGAGAAAAGGAAAAATAAGACAGAACTTAATAATTGTCGCTCATGGTCGGTCTGGTTCGAGCTTCACGGGAAATATATTTAACCACCATCCGTCAGTATTTTATTTGTTTGAGCCTTATCAAACGGTGGAACGCCTTCACGGAGGAGTAGCGCCTTTTAACAGAGATTACCAGGAGAAAAGCTTTGAGTGGATGCAAGGTGTGTTCCAGTGTAAGTTTGTGTCGCCCAAACACGCTAATGATATACAACACTACTATCGTAAAGTGGTGGGGAAGGCGTCACGCGAAACTCAAGCTAGTATTGCTCTTTCTTCGCCTCCTTTTTGTCGTTACAACACCACTGATTCACGCTGGACTCTCCAGGATAGTTGCCCAGACCCGTTCGAACAGAAAATGTTGGAGGAGGTTTGTGAGAAGAAATACAGTTTGACTGTCGTGAAAGCTCTGATGGGAAGAATGCCGAACACTGATATAGAACAGTTGATCAATGTGTGCGATTCTTCGCAGGAATTTGATTGTAAACTGCTATTTCTAGTCAGGGATCCACGAGGGATTATTCCTTCGTCTAAAGCGGTGCGTTTTTATCGCGAGACGGATAAAGCTGGCTTAGCGAATTCAAGGATGTTCTCTTATCACAACTGTAGGCAGACTGAATTAAATCTTAACATCATTAGGAAATTGCCACCGAGGTGGAGAAAGCAAATAAAGATATTGCGGTATGAGGATCTAGCCAAAGACCCTTCTAAACTACTTCCGAGCTTACTTGAATTTGCTGGGTTACCTATGGACAAAGGTTTGAGCGACTGGCTTTACTTAGCGTCGCACAAGCCGAAGACGGAAAGCGATCAAAAGGCAGCACCGTGGAGACAAGACTCTTTTGAGGGGGCGGACCGGTGGAGATGGAAGGTTTCACCGTACGAAATCAACATCATTGAACATTATTGCAGGCCTGTTATGAAACTGTTGGGATACAGACCGCTGGATTATTCCTACGAGATGCAGAGGAATCTGAGTATTCGTCTCCTTGACGACCATTTCGAAGCCCTTGACTGGCTTGAGTGATTGTTTGGGAGTTTGTTGAACATACCGTATATGAATAACTGTGTAGCACGGTGTCGTGGTTTGGTATTGCACTCGGGTAAACATATCACACCAAAACAGAAGAAAAGATTTTCAATCATTTGAAACAATCCACAACTTCTTTCGTTTGAGTATTGCCACTTTTGGGGGGCAGAAAATTCTCGGTGAATTCGATGTGAGAACATTAAGATGATTTCCGCAGAACATTCGAGCAATAATGGCAAAAATTAAGGTACCAAAAAAAAAAAAAAAATCGTGGCATGGTAATATTTTGAATACAGTTAAGAAGATTCCATGAGGGAAAATTGGACTTGAAGTTATCATTGTTTCAATGAAAACAGACGTTTCGCATTAGTTAAAAACACAATAACACACGCTTTAAGCATTCTTACGAGCTTTGACATTAACCTTCTCGACAATGCTTGAGAATTTAATCGCGGGGTCACTTAGAGAAATGAACTAAAGTGAGTTGTTTTAAATAGTATTCGCAAAGTTACGGTGCTATGAGTAGACTTATAGCAAATAATTTTTCAACTCATTGCTCGAACTTTGAGCGGAATCCATCTTAATTGCTCTCGTTCATACCAAATTGATAAAATTTACCTCAGTCCACTAAACATTTGATTTACCGCTTTAGGCGTTCATGCCTGAGTAGTCTAGCGGACTAGCCTATATAATTACCAATATATATGCACAAATATTTGTTTGGCTGCTGACATCTGCCCCTTACCCTGGGCAAACTCTATCATATTGTTTGTACAGTTTTTTCGCTACAAAGTCTCGCTGTTTTGTTTTGTTCTGTCCCATGAAGTCCGAGATAACACAGACCAAGGTCGAAGAAAACAAATAGACATCTCAGAAGCGGAAAGATTTCGGAGAGAATTTGCACATGAAGGCGCTGCGTTCATGCAGTAATTTCCAGTGGCGGTCTGTAATGCCCATTAAGCACCCCTTGTGTAGCCTTCTAACGGCAAAAATAACAAGGCATTCGAAAGGGACAACTGGTAGTCTGAGTAGAATATTATAAGTAGTAAGATTACAATATTGTTGTCACGAACGCTATATAAACTGTCATAAATAGTCCTTTATTTAGATCATTAGGAGATAAGTCTTTGCCAGTTTTGTTTAGGCCATCGCCGTCGCCCTTTTTTAATTACCTTAGTTCCCTTTCAATTATCAGCCAATTCTCTTTTCTTGGATAGAACACCCGTTAGCCATATGCTTCCTGTTTGGCGACGTTCCACCGTTGAACGCCCTTCGTTTGCCACATGACCAGGAATGCCACTTTTAACTTTAGCCAGTCGGAGTTACGTTGTCATAGGAGAAAGAGGTGATCGGAGTTTATTAGTAGTCAGTCTTTACACGCAACTATCGGAGTACCGTCGGAGCATTGGAGTTACCTTTTCTTTTTTTAGCCTTTAACGCAGTACCGGACGTAAGTTCTACTCGTTTATATTCACCTTTTCGTTTTTCCTTTTACCACGCCTTTGTAGATCTCGTAAATTTTAGCTCTCTTTTAATTATGTATTGTAACCTACTCTGTAGTTTTCACCGCATATGTATAATATTTGGGCAAGTCGACCTTAATAAACGCTGATCAAGTAAAGCCTGTCCAATTGTTCTACATCGTGCGGTTGACGCTCGACGATCTCAACGCGCACCACGTGCCAGCTACTTGGGTTCGTTACAATTGTCATACATCAGAATTTGTAAAAGGACTTAAATCATAGACAACTAAGGTAAACCTCTAAATTGTCATACAATAAAAATATATGAAATTTGCTCCGATTTAATGGTTTTCTCGGAAATATTCTGAACAGGGTGCTTTTTTGTCTTTTTTACTTCTCGATTATCCGGACTTCCTCTCTAGTCCCAATTTTGTCATGACTTTATTAGTCACGATCAAGATCCGTAACCATAATCTTTTTAAAACTGCAGCATTGAAAAGTGCAGTCAAAACCAAGTTCGTTTTGCTTTTAAATAGCAGAAGCAGCGCTCGAACGCGTCGTAACTAATTAATGAAGAACATTCGAATGAGTTCTGATTGGCTCAGAGTTGCTTTGTTGCTAAGTGAAATGTCACGCTGTATTGGCTCGTTTGGCGTGGTATACAAAACAAACAAGCTAGCGTCACGCGCGTTTGTTCACAATCATCATGTCCTTGAGGAGTAAACGATCCGTTTTTTCGAAAAAAGATAAAGTCTTTAATTTTGCGATCAGAGAAAGGAGAAAAAGGAAATAATTTGTGAGCTTAATATGGCATTAGTAAGCAGCAGGTCTCCGATATCCGCAAGACTGAACAAGGAAAAGATCGTGCGGAGACCAGCGAAAAATCGCTGAAATTAAGTTGTAGAAGAATTTTCATTGTTATGCTCCACCTCTATGGCACACGCGAAGATACTACGATATGGGTGAAAATAATTTCTTACCCAAGCGCAAATTGCCGCAAATAATCCAAAAAACCCCTAAAAAAAGCCCATATTCCTCCCAGTCTCTGAAACTCCTCTACAAAAAAGGGATCGCGAAAACGAAGAAGCTCAGGTGAAGCGTGTGCTTTTCCGGACGCTACCATCTGGATAGACGGGAGTGGACCGACCCAGCTGGGGGCTCCCCTCTCCACTTAGTTACACCCAATGGGAGTGGACCTAACAGATTCTTGAGCACCTCTAAATGAAGGTAAAACGGTTTAGGAGACGCCTGAAATGAGGAGGGTAAGGGGAGTAAAAAGTAGTAATAAACTACAAAAACAAACAGGTAAAGAAAAAGCGAAGCCACCAACCAGGCTGATCCAGGGACCCCGTTACAGACAGAGTATCGGGTATTGTTTAGAAAACCCGTCCCAGATCGGCCAAATTGATAGCGGAAGTGCTCCTATTGTCCAGGGAAAGATGAGCCACTGCAACAAAACGTCCGTTCGAGCTCCATAAGCTGATTTTCAAGTTCTAGAACTGTCCAGTAAGCCTAGCGAAAAAGTCAAAATAAAACAACAAATAAAATAAATACGGGACGAAATATTTACTGCAATTACCCAAATTGTAGTACCAAAGCAATCGGTCGGTTCTACACGTCTGTATCACCCATAAATGTAATGAAAACCGTAAATGTAATGAAAATTGACCATAAATGTAGTACTCACCAAAAATGTAATAACTTTTAATCACAAATGTAATAAGTCCACCAACCATAAATGTAATAAAATTGGACCATAAATTGAAAATTGAACAACCAAAAATGTAATATGGCTTAACCATAAATGTAAAAAACTGCCCATTACCTCTGAGTCAAGGAGCCACAAACCCTACCATTCTCTTATTTCGTACAGGGTAGCCTTTTTCAGGCTCTCGAGTAGTCGTGGGCGAACGAAGATGCCTTATTCCCACTCGTTGACCCCTCGCTCGCCCGCTTCCTGGAACAGGCTACGTACAGGGAGGGCAGGGGGCCTGTACATCAATTTGGAGGACTCATTTCCCGTAGCACCGTTTTAGTCCAGAGGACAAAACCCAAGAAACCATCACTATAATCCGTGCGAACATTTAGAAAGTACTTACAATTTGAGTATAAAGTTTATATAGCAGACGAGATCTCGAGTGGTCTAAAATAAGTGCGTCTGAGGTGTCGGAGTTTGTGACGTTTAAGTCCACTTAGCTGGAGTGCTGGGAGTTGATAAAGTTTCATACAATTGAAGAAGCTTGAGGTTGTTAGAGTAATTTCACATGCAATTGAGGAAATTTTGGGACACCCCGGCTTCAAGCGAAAATAAAACTGAAACAGACAAGTATTTTCCTTCCAGTTCGAACTTCTGCAGTCATTTATTCGACTCGCTTAAGACTTAGTCATTCTTTTAGAATTCATTTGTCAGGGACTAGCCACCTACCTTTTAAAGCAGCAAATAAAAATAGTATCGGACCTAAAACGAAGGCGTATCTCGTTTTTTCCTAGGCACTGTTGAAGACTAGTTTTCACACATGTTACAGTTTTACTGATTCGCTATAAGCAATACCAGTTGTATACAAACCTGAATCTTTACACGATTGCTTTAAGTATTAGTTGCCCTTGTAATAAACCAGGTTTTGTTCTATAGTTTTGTTTAGTGTTTTATCATCTTATGGCCCATGTGCGACTGGTGAGATATTAAATATATCTATCCTGGTTCAAAATATTATACCTGGACTACAACTTTGGCCAAAGCAAATTAAGCAATCCTGTTTAAAATAGTTGCACTTCCCACATCCCTCCTGTAAGCCAACAGTTTTGTCCCACTCCCCTAGCACTGTTCAGTCATTGACTAGATACAAAACGGAGCCATCCACTACCTCTCGCCAAAATGACTTGAAAGACATTTGCTAACGGACACGGAGCGCACGATTTCTCCGGTGAAGGAATTTAAAATTGAAACGGGCTTATACTCTGCAAAGTGTAATCTTTGACTGGAGTACTACCTCTTCTCTTTTTTCCGAAAGAAGAAAGTCCCAAACTATTTTCACTTGCAAACACCTCAAGTGCACTTATTTTGGACCACTCGAGACCTCTTCTGGTATAAAGACTTAATGATATCTAAAGTCCACACGGACAGTAATAATGCCTTTTCGGGTTTTGGTCTCTGGGCCAAAACGATGCTGGAGCAATGAGTCCTCGAATTTGATTTGCGGGGCCCCTGTCCTGGCTGTGCCTGGAAACTGAAGGCGACGCACGCCGTGAAAACAAACTTGGAAGGCGACACACGCCATGAAAACTAACTTGAAGGCGACACACGCCATGAAATTTAGAAGGCGAAACACGCCATGGAAACTAACTTGAAGGCGACACATGCCATGAAGACTAAACTAGAAGGCGACACACGCCATGGAAACGTGGGGGCGACACGCGACATACAAATCAGGAGGCACACATGCCATGAATGCTAAGACGCTACGGTTGGGTTTAGTGCGAGCTGGCCGAGTGTGGTCTAGGGCGAGCAGGGCCAGCCGAAAGCGGTCTGGTGACGAGGGGGAGCGCATTATTTCGCGCTAAAAGGCTCGCTTCGCTCGCTGGGAGTCTGTTTGCAGGCTAATTAAAGACTAGCTGTTTAGTGGAAGGAACGGGATTTTTGCCGGTAGCAGGAACTTCAGCTGCGGCCTCCGTGGCCGAACAAGGGGCTTCCAAAACGTCAGGAGGAATAGCAGCAAGAACGTCGGCTATAAGGAAAGTTGCTCAGCGACGGAAACGTGCGAATANCTTGATTGCTAACTGAAACAGTTACCTTTTTGTCTCGTCCGTTTTGACTTTGTCCCACTCGACTCCTGTTTCTTTTCGTGATGAAGTTGCCATGATATTCCTTGGGTCTTTCGTGACAAGGTTGACAACTCCATCGATACTATTTTCCGGTGTACTTTCTGGGTGTGCTCCCTTGGGAAAGTTCGCATCTGTTTCTTTTACGTATAAATTCAGCAACGCAAATTCCAGTAGAACTACTATTACTAAAACTATGCTTAAAGCAACTGCTATCTTAGAAATGATTTTAAATCCCATCTGGATGACATGGCAAAGGTTAGTGTTATAGCTATGCACTTGTGATTATTTGGAGACATAGCAGCCGCTCCTGCTTGGCATCCGCCCCTTGAGCAACTTTCGTTCACGCTTCACATGGAGTCGTGATGTTTCCGCCATAAGCAGATCAATTTTGTGAAAAATAACCTTAAGGTAAGGTCCGTTCCCTTCTTAAATGGGAAAAAATAACATTTATCAGTATCTTTCATCGATTTGTGCGGGCATTTTCGTGAAGAGAGAGCAAAAGTGGAAAAAAAGTTGTTAACCGATATGCAAACTAGCCAACATGTAGGCCTCATGAAAGTGGTTCAGTTTTTCGCACGTGGCAAGTGCTTCATGTCCGCTGTTTCATCTGCCTACACGTTTATTTTGTAGCTATTGGGAAGCTTTTGCGTCGCCGGATGAGAAAGTAGTTATTAGCTAAGTAGATTTGTCATGGAGCCAACGAATTAATGCTAAATTTTCCTTTCATTGTGGCTGTTGCCGCCAGGAATATGGAAAATTTCAGAACTTTAGTTGCGGCTTGTTGTCGATGGTTTGAAATTATGTCAATGGAAAGCTTTTCTCCTATCTGTGTTGAGATATATTTGCGTCTTGATTAAAAGCGCTAGCGAAGCTAGAAGATATCAGTTTTTCAGCCGTTTTGCGCGTTTCTTAAAATCAAGCGCGGCTGAGATATTTTACTGGTTCTAGTTTATAGGTGTGCGGTTTCACGTGGTTAAGAATGGTCGAAAATGTTTTAAAAGTGCCTGCAGAGGGTCAAGTCTAAATAGATCAAAGCACTTAGTTTAATTGGATCTCAGTTCAGCGTAGGAAAGCCCTGTGATCTTGGGGTTTATGCATATTTTAATGTCTGTCCATGCATTTAACCCCCTCTACTATCATTACTTTGATGATGTAAATTGAAGTTTCAACCAAAAAATTCTGGTGTTTTGAGAGCACATGTATAGAGTTACTGGTAACACATCACCCACCTGTACCAACCCCTCTTCCACTCGGAATAGCACCCTACCAACAATATACTTGTCTTGGAAGGAATAGACATGTATTTACTTCAAGTACATGTATGAAATCAGCTTTTTAATATTTCAGTGCACTCCAAGATGCAAAGGGAAGGAATGAATGTTGAGACAGCAGATTACCTCACATCACTCCTGCAGAGGTACGATGCAACAGATGGTGGACTTCCTGCTGAAGCCATTCTCCCACCAGTTCCAGTTCCAAGAGAGAGGTTGGGTCCTCCAACACCCGCTGAGTTCCTTGTACCCGCAGTTATTCTTTGGGATCCTTTAAACCAAGTTCCAAATCTGACAGAGTTAGCCTGTCCTCATGAAATCCATGATAATGAAGTCTGTGTGCTTAGGGCACACACAAGTAACAAGGGTAATTATGGAAGGTGGAAGGCTTCTAGAGGAACACAGGATATTCCCAGGGCCCTTTACTGCTGTGATGGCTGTACACTGTTGGTGAGTCGCTTGTATACCTGCAAGAAAGGCCACAAGATAATATCTCATGATCCACGACTCATGGAGAACATTCCCTCATCATATCAAGTCCCATTTTATCTGTTACACAGAACAGGTTTTACCCATGAGTTAGCCACCTGGGTCCATTCTTGTGTGCTTGCTGGTATGACCTTTCACGAGATTGAAGAGGTTTTGATGCAAAGGCACCGAGATGCTTATGAAGAACGCAGATGTAAGTTTGATGCAGAAGTCAAGTCATATCTTGAAAAGAATCCAGAAAATCAGTCAGCTGTGGAAGCATTTCCTGAGTTCAAGACTTCCCAAGTTCCTTCTTTGGAGACAACGATGTCAAGCATAGTGCACATGTTTGAAGGCAATGAGCAGTTCTACATACAGAGAATGAGTGAATGGCCAGCCAAACGCATTACTGCTGGATACTACTTTAAAGTAGCGACAACAATCGGTGAAAAACTGGAGACAGCTGGAAAATGGATCACCCATTTTAAGAACATGTACACAGTCATGAATGAAAAGGGTCAGGTGGTAGCCTGGAAGTTTACCAAAGAAAAAGATCTAAATGATGTGAAAGACATCCTGGCAGGACTGCAGCAACGTTTTGAGAGGCAAGGCAGACAACTGGAGATGGTTCTTGTGCCAGAATGTTGTGAAACCAGAGACCAATTTAATGCAACATATGGCATAGAGGTCCCAGTCAAACTTGAATTGTCAAAAGCAGTTCACAGAGTTGTGAGGAAAATCCCTGCAAAGAAAAGAGAAGAGAATCCGCTGACCAAAGCTTGTGTTCGTGACTTCGCCCTGGCCTTGCGTTACCCAACAGACAGGGGAGACATCCGCAATGAAGCAACACCTCCACCAGATGTCATCTCTGAAAACCTTGATGCCTTTGTGGATGGTTGGAAAGACATCATTGAAGGGAATGAGCGGGTGTTAACTCTGGCAGCACAGAGACAGATCGTACAGCTAAGAACTCATATAGAATCAGGATGTCTGTCAGAAATCCCAGCCTCTCCAGGAAGTGAAAATATTGATGAGCTGCACAACATTTTGAAGCCTGTCTTGGAGAGGAAGTTCCTAAATGCCGACATGGCCTTAGCCCTTATTTCAACACTTCTCTACGTGTGGAACGAGAGGAGAGCAAATTCATTACCCAAAGGTGCCCTTGTCCGGCCAATATCAAAGTACAGGGGAACGCTGGAAGTCAGTGGGTTCACACCAAGTCCTGAAAGATTTGGGATTATCAAGGCTGAAGATGATGAAAATGATGACTCCTCTTCTGCCAATTACTCCTTTGATGTTCTAGCTTTGCAGTGCTTGATACTTGATGCATTTGGTGGAAACAGAGAGGCAGAGATCCAAGGAAAAGGCAGTGAAACCTGTTTAAGTGAGGCTGCTCTGAAGAAAGTTATTGCAAGAGCATCCAATTTGCTGTCAGTATGGGAGATCCTAAAGACACAGGCCGTGCATGAAGTGTCCATCAATCCTCGTCTAATGCATCTTATGGCATGTTCTTTGATCCTATTCAGCCGAAATGAATGTGCTATTGATGACAGATCAAATCATGAAACAAGGCTGAATGAAACACTGAGATATTATCAGTTGATGGTCTTCTCTGTAAAGAAGGATACCACTGAAGCAGATGGATTTTTCACTGCAGTCAGTTCAGGACTTGACTCCATTCTGAGAAGTGATTTGCCAGAAACTGAATCAGTGAAACAGCACCTTGCCTCTATTGGATATCACACTGATGAAGGAAGCAGCCTAGAGGAAAATGTTTCTGTGCTGCGACAGTTGATCAGCGATGAGTGGCTTGCAGGTGAAGAAGAATACAGCAAACTTCTGGTCTCACACATGATAAGTTTTGCAGAAGAAGCTCAGGCATTCAGGAAAAGAGGATACTTCAAAGGTATGAGTCAATCATTGCAACTGTATTTTAAAGAGTGGCAAAATGTTGCAAAACCTCATTACAGATGCTCATTTTGCAAGCAGGGTTACCTGTGGCTAGACTATTTAAAATTATTGGACGGACAGCAAGCTCAAGGATGCCTTCTACATCAACATAAACAGAGATAAAGCAATCTAATTGTCTTGGCATAACCCAAGGTTTGATCCATGACCAAAAATATTAATATATCATGAACTTAACAAAAATGTGAAATTAAATAATTATTGATTGACCAGACAGTGCCATCTGTTGAAATAGTCAGACGGCCCCTGTGTAACCAATCAGACTGCACATTCACCTGCTGTTCAGCCAGTCAGTTATGCTAACAACCACTGGGGAATGGTTAAACTATAAGGGAGCTATCAAAGTCACTAGAAACTATGTTTCAGCACAACCAGTGGCTGATCATTGACAATGACCACATGAAAATCTTATGTACTGATTGGTATTACAGAAAAATGGTTCAGTGTGTGGCCAGAAAGATTGTTAGAATGGCAATAGTCAGCAACTGGGTTAGGTCAAGTTAATCGATGAACGTCTTATTTTAGCCAATCCAATAATTCAGTTAATCCTAAATGTAGTTTGTTAATCATTATTAGCCATAATTATCAATAACTATTAACCAATTAGATTATGAGCTGGAGATTTCTATCGCACAATAGCTGACGAGGCTGCAGCCCAAGTCAACTATCATGCAATAGAAATCGAGTGCCAAAATCTACTAGTCATCTACTAGTCATTCAAAACTTTATCTAAATCCTCTTCACAGACTCTTCGAAAACGCCAAGAAGCAGCTGTCATTTTGTTACCAAGTGCACACTGCTATGCTACTCACTATCTATCACAGAATAGATTGTGAGTAGTGTAGCCAATCAGAGAATGGCATTCGTTATAGAACACTATTAGATTTATACTAATATACTGTGAGTCAGTAAAATGAAGTAGCTGCTGAAAAACAGCACTCTAAACATTTGCAATAGCCATATTTTGACAAAAAAGTGTTAAACATTAGTTTGGTTGCTTGGGTTTGCCATGATTGAATTTGGAGAAAAAGTGAAAACGTAGGTGATAGGGAAGCCCTGTGACCTGCATCAGGTGTCCTGCTCCTCTTTAACCTGTCAAGAAAGGCAGTAAGTGCTGTTCATTTGTCTTCCCACATTGTAGTTGCTGAAGACATTAGTTAAGATTATTTTTACTTTTTTTTCAGCTGAAATGTCAAATCTCCTGCCAATTGCAGCAGCAAAGGTTTTAAAAGTGCCAGTCATTGTCTTCACTTCCCTTCAACATTTTCCTATTGTCCCAGTTGTACCATCAGATGCCATCATTATTGGTTCTTGCATACATGTCGCATACAATGCAGCAGGCTTTGGAGGGTTTTATGATGTTGGCACATATGTTAGCAGTTCCATTGTGCTTCCAAAACTGATGACTGATCCCGTGGCAAGGCGCAGAGATAGCAGGAAACGATATAGAGAGAAGATGGCATTGCTGAAGGTCAATCAACCAGCAAAGAAGAGAGGAAAGAAGCCCAAAACAGCTGGTTCACAGGAAGAGAACCATGAAGATGGCAAAACTGAGGCAGAGGCTGATGATTCTGTTGCTTCACAACATGATGATTCCATGGATGTCTCTTCAGCTGATATAACTGACCAAGACAAATCCATGGATGCATCAGTGCAAGAAACAGAAGGGGAAACCTCATTGGAGTCATCAGCAGTAGTAAATGATATCGATGAAGGAGTAGAAGCTGCAGCAAACCTCCTTGAAATGGCTTACAGTGAGGCAGGTATGAATGAGGAGACAATGGAGGAGTCTATTACAGAGAGTGCTGTAACAGGTGAAATTTTACCAGCAACTGACCAAGAAACCAAGGAGGACCTGCAGGCTTGTTTGCAAAACCCAGATCCTCAGGATGAGCAGATTACCACGGGTCCCAACGAAACACCAGAGATGGTATCTCAGGAAAATGTTGCCAATACTATAGAAACAACAGAGGTGGTGTCTCAAGGAACCATTGCTTCTGCTGGAGAAACATCAGAGGTAGTATCTCCAAAAAGCATTGCCAAAGGAAGTACAGCTGAAGCTGTCACTGAACCAGATGTTGCAACAGAAACCATAGCAGAGGATGTCATTAATCAAGCAATCAATGGGGAGGATAAAGAATCACTGGAAGTAGATGCAGAAGGAATGACCCCAGAACCTGTTTCAGCTGGCAATGATGCAAGCAGTGCTGAACCACTCACCCCCAAGAGCAAGCCATCGGTTCTTGACAGTGAAATGGTCTTGAGCTTCCAGGAGGGTGTAAACATACAGAAACAGACATTCTCTTGTAGCTGTGGTAGGGGAAGTGGAAAGAATCTGAAGCGCACCCAGTTCTGCCTGACACTAGAGGGTGGCTATCTTACACGTTGTGCCTGTTATAGAAATGCATCTGGTTGCTCTCACAGATGCCGCTGTTACCTCTGTTGCAATCCATATGGCACTGCTCAAGCGGCAAAGGCTACCAAGCCAGCTCGTCAGGTACGTCGTTTCCGACCAAGACACAAAGTTCAGGTGATCAAGAGTCGTTTTCCAAGTCTAACCTTTACCAGCCCTTTGCCAAAAAGTGATGCACAGAACTCCAAGTGGTTGGAAGTTGACTCAATGGCATTTGAGTGCCTCATAGCTACTATGAGTCATGCCGGATTGGAACTGACTCCAGAGAATATCGCAAAAGAGTTTGCCAGGCTGTGTACCATGTCACAAAATGATGGGGGGATCCTGGGGAACACGGTTCAGTCCAAAATGATTGTAGACATCACACACCAGTTGGAGGTTGTGCAGAAAAACATCCGCACCTTCGAGAACTTGTACAAAAAGCAGACAGAGCTGAACTGGTTTCAAGGAATGGAAGTTGTTTTCTCAACAGAAGTGGTTGTCTCATCATAGATGAAAAAATGGAGAAACAGTACAAGGACATGATGCGAGACCAGAAAAGACAGAGATCAAGATTGTTGCGCTAAAAAAAAACAGTTTGATTGTTGATAATTAACTGCTGTATGAACTACTCTTTTTACACAATTTGTAGAAAAGGGCAGATGGCCCAACAAAGGTCACTTGCATAGTTGGGTTGAATGATTTTGTATAAGAAGCTCCCCTATAGATCATTACCATCTCATATCGTCAAACTTTTCTTTGATCTCTATTGCTGATTGCATAAAGTCATACAGTATTCTTTAACATCAAGATCAGTAGTAACATTTATTTATCTAAGGTATGCAAGTTTTAGTGGTCAATATACAGTATTGCAAATGCTCAGATTGTAACACAAACCATTTTCATCTTGGACTTTTAGTTATAACCAGTAAGAATGCAGTAACCATGAGTATAAATCACACCACTTTTTTTTTACGATAACTGCAGAAATTCTTGCACAGTCATTGGCTAATTTTCATTGTCAATAAGTGGACAGGCACATGAAATTATAATTTATGTGGTGCGTCAACAAGTGAGAGCGGACAATTTGACAATTTGTTATCCTAAGCAACAAATTGATCTCAGTTTTTAATACGTCTGTCCTATTATTGACAGTGAATTTCGTCTTAACATTGTCAAAGTAGTCTGTGGATCCAGACAATGTTATGACAAAATTCATGTTCAATAACAGGACAGATGCATGAAAAACTGATGTCAGTTAGTTAAGTTGACCATGTTAGTTTTACAGTTCTTTACACGTCATACCATACTTAAGGATTGCTTTCCATGAAAAGTAGTTTATAAACGTTTTTCGTACTGGTTGGGTTTATTTCCTCTCAGATAATCATTTTCTATAAATTGTTCTTAAATAACTCATTGGAGCTTAACTTGTGATTGGCAAATTGTAATAATACTTAAGTTGTAGTCAATGGTAAATGATTGTCATTGTTTGGTATTTGGATGGATACTTTGAAACATTATGGTATTCTCTTTCACCATAATTAACAAACAACCACCTGTTTTAATTTTAGAATAAAAATGTATCTATATAAGTTCTCAACCTCTGTGTGCTTTTTATGTCATCCTTTACAGCTAAAACAGCAGATCTATGCACTTTCAAGGGTTATTTGTCACCTGTTCCAAGCCGAGTTATCATTGTACACTCTACAAATGGGTCAGGATCATAACAAGTAATTGATTCTTCAAGGAATCAGTGAATGCCTCTCAATTAAATGTCCCAACAAGTTAATCTGCCAGAGTTTTTTCTTTTTTTTCCTCTCTCCTGTGAGTTTAATGTCCTAAATGCAAATATAAAATTCCCAGCTTTGGCTTCATCATGTTTTCTGTACAGGTTTTGTAACATGCTATTCCTTCATGTGCCACTTTTTTGTTCTTAGCACATTTTTACACTCCACAACAAGAAATCTTTTTGTTAATCTGTCAGCATAAAAGTATGTTGATTCAAGACAAGATGTATTGAAATGAAATGCAAACAAGACAGAATTATGATATCTTTATTATTAGTTATTATTTTACCTCTGTAACTATTAGTTTTAAGGTGGTAACTTAGTGACTGGTCAGGATGAGTTTTGCCGATTTTTTCTTTCCAGAGGATTATTTGGCTGACTTTTAAAATTCTACTCTTTAGGAAGTACTATGTACATTGAAGACTCCTTTCATAATCTCACTGATACAATCAAGCTGATTAAATTAGCTAATGCTTCACTCTTGGTATTGGTGTTAATCACTTTCTGTAACAAGCAATTCAAGAAATTCCACAGTGACTTTTAAGCCAACATGCATGATATAGTAAATTCTGAGCAACAATGAAACTTAGTTGGGCTTTTTTTTCAAAATTTACATAGCTATTTTACAAACTTGCACAATGCATAGTACACAGTAATGTTCCTGTATTATTTTCTTGAGTCTCTACAAATTTATACTGTCCATAATTTTCTCCTTTTCTTCTGACACTTGGTCTGCTCCCCGTCTGGTTTATTTTCCCTGCTTGAGTTTCATTACTGGACTCGTATATTAAATCATCTCATTGCCAAAACAAAATACTGGCAGCCATGGCTATACAACAAATAGCAACATAAGGACTTTTTCTTTCACCTAGGAGAGATGCAAAAAATTAACTAGAAATGTGCAATATAATGAGCTGATAAAACAAAAATGTGTAATAAATGGAGCAAATGGTTTGAAATGTAAACTGATAAATAGAAAGAGTTGTCAGACAAATTCATGCTACATTGGATCAAGGAAGTTATCCAAATGAACTGTTGTCAATATCATAACCATTTCCATACAAAGTCTCTAACTTCCTAAAGCATTTACAGACTTTTGTTAAGTCTCATACATTCATTGAACTGAAAATTCTGCTACAACTTATATCAGAAATGAAGCAGGAATTCTTTATACCTATTCTTGCTGCTTTCCAAAAAATTCCTAATAAACTGTAAAGTAGAAAAAAAAAAATCAAGGATCAGTAAAAAGCTACATGTACCAAGTATTTGAATAATACCTTGTACGTACAGTCTTCATGAAGTAAATATTGCAAGTAACAGTCCACTTCAAGAGGGGAACTTCATTTGATTCCGTTCAATGTGATATGCTGGACAACAATATCTGACAAGAACAGAGCTTGAGGCCTTATGTGACAACTAGTCACAAAAGAGACAGGTACACCGAAGCACAGGGCTTGTTTCTGACAGGGTTGGCTAGTAAACAATAACCATACAAAGGCCAGTGAAGCTCTTTGACTAACAGTTATCCATGAAAATAAAACTTGCCTGGCTTTAATCATTTGGTAACAAGTAATGAAGAAAACAGCCTCGACAAAGATCAGAGCGCAAGATTCTTTGATGTTAGAACACCTAGCCTCAATTGCTTGAGGCTAGGTGGCTCAATTGCTTAAATCACCATCTGGTGGATAAGTTTTAGAACCACACTATCTGATGGATAGTGATTTATCCCGTGGATAGCATGTTATCCACCTTTCGAGCAACCTGGCCAGGCATAGTCAATCAATAAACCAATAGTCAACAATCAATATCAAGGAGGATTTCACTGAAAATTATCCCTGTAAACCAGTTTCAAACTTCTTGAATTCAAATGGTTTTAGTCAGATCCAGTGATAATTTCAGAAAGAAAATAATTATTAGTCATGATTAGTTTAAATGAGTGAAAATTTCACTCCAAGAAACTAGCCAATCAATTTATGCATCTTCAGAGCCACCTTTTTCTTGTGCCAAGAACTCGCTGTCTAATAGGGAAAGGTGCTTCAACAGACAAGAATAGCAGTCCTCAATTGATATCAACTGTGTCAATTGATTTCCCAGTATCGATTTCTGTTGATTGAATACAGCTGGTCAAACATGATTATGTTGCTGCTAGCATGTCTCAACAATAATCAAATTAGCCCCAGGCCCCATACAAATGAATTCCTACCAAAGAGCCATCAATTGAAACCAAAAAGCTTGACCGCAATGAGGAAGGTCACAATGTGAATAGAAACTCAATTTCCATAAGCCAACTCAGTTTTCGAATTCCAAAATCGTACATCGGATGTTCCACGTCATCAAAGCATAGCACATACAAAACCACTCATAATACAAAAGCGTTTTATCGAATAACCGCCTGGAAAGAAACAATACCAGAATCAAACTGCGGAACGCTGCTGTTTCTTACCCGTGTTTGTTCTTGTCCAAGAGAGCTGGGTAGATCGAGCGAATGTACGCACATGTACAGATCAACAAAAGAACCACTGTGAGCAAACTTTGGAAGTTGAAGATCGCAGACTGTTAGAGAACCACAAGAAATAAAACAGATCAGATGAATTAACGATGGATTTTTGATTGAAAGAATTAAGCAACCCTTGAGAAGATTAAAATTCAAGGCTTACCATCGTTGTCTGCAGAAACTCTTCACCACTGTCGGCAACTGAAGCTGACAACTGTTTCTTCCATATGTTTGATTCCAGCTACATGAAGAATGTAATATCGGGGTGCTAATCCGCTGACCGGCGGTAGGGGGTCGTCGCCGTAAGCGGGGTATTTGAACCCAAAATTACAAAATAACACAAATGAATATTTCAGGAAATGAAGTAAACTCACTGAAAATTCAGCTTGTGAACAGTGAGAAGTGCCTAAAGAAATCTTGAACCAATTCCCGATTGGGTTTTGTTTTGCATCCGATGGGTGTAGGAAATGAGATATATGCACTTACTGCTTTGATCACCTGCAAGTTGCGAGTGTATTTAAACCTACAACCTGTTCAGTAAGCGTAAAAACCAAGCAAAGCTGTAGTGTGCTGCGCAATTTGAGCTTTCCGTCTTCTCGTTCCATAGGAAGACCTGGGAAGGGTGTGGAGGGCAGGGAGAAGTTGCCGGGGAAGGGACGAATTTTTCAAAACAGGTAACTGCTCTGCAATATGGAATGGAAACTCACGTCTTACGTGCGCCTTCAAGACTTGATCCACACCATAAGCAGCATTTTGTTACTTAGGGCCTGTTTACGCGGAGGGAAGGTTACACTAGCAAGCGGGTTAACCCTAGCTGGAGGGCAAAAGATAGCCCGGGTTTACAAGAAAAATTTTACAGGTAGGGTAACCCTACGACAACTTACATGTAATGTGCGGTTACAGTCAAAGGGTCTGGAAACAATTAGAAAGTTAACCCGGGGAGGCGGGTTAACCCTACCTGGAGTATTTACAAGGGAAAAAGTTAACCCGTCTGCCAGGGTAACCCTAGCACGCAGATAGGATAACCCGCCTACCCAGGTAACCCTAGCTGTCTTGTAAACACGACGAAGAAAAAAAGAGGAAATGTGTGAGTGCTAGGGTAACCCGGCCGCTTGCTAGGGTAAGCTGCCTTCTAGTGTAACACTCTCTCCTTATAAAGAGGCCCTTATTGTTTTTTTAATATCTTGATTTCTGCGTCGATTCTGCTCTGTTTCGATTCCGTATAACAATCCTGTGGGATAATGTTGTGAGGTTGACCGAACGCAAATGAGGGTACCGTAAACTTCCGGAATACCGTTACTTTCGGAATTAGCTACTTTTTGGAAAAAAAAAAAAAAATTCGAAAAAATGTACGGTTTGGAATAGTGAATAAGTGAAGTTCAATTATTTCTCTTCCATGCACCCCCGATCAAGACCATTACAGCTTATTTTGACCTCTCAGTTCAAGGTCTCACGGAAATAAATCCTCAAAAAATAATAGCACAAAGTTGGGTGAAAGAAGTGAGCCGGAACAAATAAAACAGATTCCCCATGATTCTAAGCGAACGAGACTCTGACGCTTATAAAAACAAACAGAAAGGTTCTTTAAACTTCATATCTAGTCTTCACAGTTTTCGTAGCACAGGAAAAATATGTATGCAAAATATGGCTTTCTACGTGCTAATGTGTTAGGTTAAGGAATGCTTATGGTAAAATGTGCAGCCGCCATCTTCTGCCGTATATACGGTGGATTGGGTTAGCACGGGTTGCACTTCTATTGCGAGATCTGATTGGTTCATTCGGGGACCTAAGCCTTTTTCTGATTATTTGGCTTTGGAAAGATGTTGATCACTATAAAGTACTTGTTTAAACAACAGTAACTGATGACAATAACTTTATTGTTCTTAAAAAGCTCTTAAAATAGAAATCATAACGTAAAAGCTTTAGCAAATAAAACGCTGGGCCATTTCAAGATCACCCATATTGTTTTTCAAGTTAAGTTGCATTTATTGATACGCGAAGGGAGGACTCGAGTTTCATGAAAGGTAAAATAAAAGTTTCCTCCATCAGTTCGTTTCGTATCAATTTGTACATTTGATTCTTAATTCCGTTCATTTCTTCGTTGTTAACTGTACTCTGTATATTTGCATGCTGTGTTGAAGGTCTTTTTTTCTTCACTCTGTTCTGTTGTTGGTCGACATAAACACAAGCTTCGTCGTGGTCTACTGTCCCGCGTTAAAAACGTTTTTCTGTCTTCGATGTTGATAATTTTAAATATTTCTTGCGTCTTGTCCCTTTTGTTGATATTTTTTGTTTGAGAATTTAAATGTTGTTTGCTGGACAATAAATCGAATTCTTCTTTAGCCAATGAGGTTCAACTTGTCTAATGACGCTCTAAAAATTAAAAAGAAGAACGAATTAGCAGAGAGACAGCGAATGTTGAATGAAACGAACAGACAAACAGCTGAAAGGACAGCAGTAAATGAAAAAGAAAGTGAGAAAATATGCCCACATTAATGTTTATTGCAATTTAATTTGACATTGAACAAGAAAACGTAGCGAATATAGAACTATAGAACATGAAAAAAAACCACTCTACCTTGCTTCAAGAACCTGTTGTTCCAATCTCTCCTGTGTTAGGAAAAGATAAAAATTTAAATAACTAGTTTGTTTGTATAAAGAACACGCTATATACTCCCTGTACTGTATTATATTTCATTCACTGGAAAACCACTGTTTATATCTATTTACGCATAGAATCCGCAAAATTTTCCTAAAAAGTCGTCTGAAATCTTCTACTCCGGTGTGAATTTAACATGCCGTTTCTCTACCCCAGCAAACCTCGCTTGTAAAATGCTCAGTAATCCAAATATGCTGCAATTTTACCTTAACGTTTTCGTTTCTGGCACGGTTTATTCGCCCCTCTAGATCTTCAATCTGAACCTTGATCCCAGCCGCATTATGCCACACGCGGATTTGACGGTCCGCGCCTCCTGCGGTGGCCAGGTAACGAGAGCTTGGGTGCCACGCGATCGCTGTGATATCATCTGAAAGAAACAACAACAACAACAACAACAAAAAAATGTGTGTTGGCAGTGTCACGAGCAGTACTGATATGTTACTTTACTAGTCACCCTAAGTGAAGTTATTCTAATCACATCAAGGAAAATGTAAATTTTAAAAACTGATTTCTGGAGACAAAAACTTGCATGAGCTCAGAAGGTGTTTGTCTTTGATAATCAAAGTTCAGACAGTAATCTCTGTAATATAGAGGGCTAATAGAGTCGCTCAAAAGAAATAACCGAAAAAATGTTAAGAAAGGAAAGGATTAGGAGTTTAGTTAGCAAACTGAGGAGTTAAGATGATTTCCGCGGAACATTCGAGCAATAATGGCAAAAATCAAGTTACCAAAAAAACCTCAGAGCATGGCAATATTTTGAATACAGTTAAGAAGAACTTATCGAGACTTAAGCTCTCAAGCTGACCCCGCGAGAGAAAATTGAATTTGAAGTCATCCATATTTTTATAAAAACAGACATTTCACATCAGTTCAAAATACAGTAACGCTCGCTTTAAGCCGTCTTACAAGGTTTGAAACTGATTTTCCCGAGAATGCTTGAGAATCTAATCGCGGGGTCACTTACAGAAATGAATTAACGTGAGAAGTTTAGAACAGCATTCAAAACGTTACCGTACTATGAGCAGATTTTTGGTAAACAATTTTTGCACTTATTGCTCGAACTTTGAGCGGAATTCGTCTTAACCAAAACAAGTCAATTATGTGGCTGACAAGACAAGCAGTGTGAGATACCGGACAAGAGGGAAGCCTGGTACCAGAACTATTTCATTTATATTACCTCCATGTACTTCCTCTAGTAGTTCTTCTAAGTTCCCATTTTCTGTATTGAAAATTCCTACGGATCGTCCCATAGCTACAGCCGTGACGTAAGCATCCGGGGACATGCTGATGAACATGTTGTTGTAAACGCCAAACGAAGCATCATAGATCCCTGTTATAAGTAGATGAGGGTCTTGCTTCTTGGTGTACTCCACTGAATAAGACAGAAATAGAAAACTGGTTTGAAACTACATTTTAAGCCACAATTACTTTAAAACCAAAACAAACAGTTCCCACAAGTGAGTCCCCCAGTTGAGGAAGGGGCCTGAAAAAAGCGAGAAGTGCAGTAAAGGGACAAGAAGGGAAAAGAGAGGAAGGGACTTTTAGTGTGATGTTTTAACTCTCCCCCAAATACAACCCTCTCATTAGCTACATACAGCTCAAGTCTCATTGTAGTAAAGAAAACTCACCATCAATGTCCCAAATTTTCCACGTTCCATCTTTTGATACAGTTGCCATCCTAATAAAAACAACGAAGGAAGTAAAGATGCAGGATGATTTTCACATCTTTTTCAACCACAAACTTATACACCAGTGTAAACCTTAAAGAACTGCCCACAGACTCCCCCAAAGTCCTTCATCAATGCTCTTAAACTGCTTGTAAGAAATTGCAGTTATCTAAAAGAAGGCACCAGTAAAATGCATAACACATTATTTACTGAAGGTTGATAATGCAAATTTTAAAACAACCATGTTGAGTAAAATTGTATTTGGGTAACCTGTGTGGCTGGTGGTTTATGTGGGCTTTTTCTATAGGCTCTCATGGTGCAGATAAACAGTGAAGGAAAAGCTGCGAGAAGAATGGTGAGAAGAGAGAGAGAGAGAGAGAGAGTNTTTTTTTTTTTTTTTTTTTTTGCAGCTTTCCGCTTGTTTGGCACCACAAAACCCCATCAAAATAGCACCAAAACTGCCAGCTATGTAGGCTATATTTGGGAAGCTGACATTTAGAGTGACGCCATTTATCATGAAAGGAAATAGTAACTTACTTAGTCATGACTGAACAGTAGTACATCATTATCTAGTACCTTGTGGAGTCTGCTGAAAAACTAAAATGATAAACACCAGCAGTGTGGCCTTTCAACTCCATTGCTCTTGAAACCTGCAACAAGTAAAATAAATTATGCACTTCATAATAGATATACTGTAAGGAAATGTTATTAATGTAATTAAAAGGCTTGTAAACAGACATGTAATATGTAATATGTTACCTGCTTGAATTCATCAGACTTGGTGAACTCCACGGCCCAAAGTTTAACATCAGGGGTGAACCCTAAGAGAAATATTGGTACCTAATGATATGAACTGTACATGTAAAGGTACAGTAGTTAGAGCTGACAAATGGCCAGTTTTCAATTGAGGTGTAAATGACAGGTGTGTCAAATGCTGATCAAATGTTCCCACCACTAAATCAGTCTAACCATTAAGTAACCTGAAAGATTACCAGCTTAACCTAAGACTGAGATGTGCCAGCAGGGTTTAAGAACTGAAATATATTACACTCTCAAGAACAAGACACATTAGCAAACAGGTTTCACTACCCTAAAAAAGTACATTTATTTTATAAACTTCATTTGCTTGATCACTTGTGAGTAGCCCTAGACTATTTGTCAGTGCAACATTTGACACAGTGCATGAAATAAAATTTGTCAGCTGCTGGTTAATCAGTAAATTGCTAATCCAGTGACAGTTCTGAGAATTTGGTGATACATAACCAGAAATTGAATGCTCTGGAGAATTTAAGGTTGTTAAGATTTCAATGTTCCTACCTGCAGATGCAACAAATTTCCCACAAGGAGATATACTTGCAAAGCTGTTGTTCATCTGACGAGTGTCAATTATCGACAGTACTTCACCTACAACAGATAAACAGTGTCCAGTCATAGCCTCATCAATACAGACTCCAAAGTGAGAGAGCTGAGTGTTTTAATTTATTGTGGATTGATTTGCCTGTTAGAGTTAAAAATATGAGTTCTGGTTTCTCTGGGAGTGTTACTGAACTGTTTAGAATATTATCAATGTGTCTACATCATGGAGGCAGGCTTTTAGCCAGATGGGCATCCAGGCATCCTGTGGACGGCCGCTTATTAGAGAAAATTGTTTTATTTTTGATATGTTGCCTTATAAATTGTTCATTTGAGCAGGCCCTTATATAGCACATTTTGGACACCCACTCTTCAAATCCTGGCTAAAAGCCTTCATGGAGGTGTCCGTGTGGAGGGTTGAACTGGCCAAATTTGTTAGAGGCAACAACAGCAGCTCTTGAAGGTTGTGTCCAGTTTGAGTTTAAAATGGATAGAGGTTACCAAAGATCTTTACTTTCATTTTAGACCCCTCTTCCCAACAGTTAGCAGCTAAAGCATACCCTTTAAATTCCACAAGATTATCGTTGTATCACTGGAACATGACATGATGAACTTGCCACTGGATGCCACAGCAATGTTGATGATCTCTGCCGAATGTTTGACAGGAAAATCAAATTCACCAGTAATGGAAGTGCCAGATCCATCCTTTTTCTTGTACACTTTAAATACTCGGATTGTGTTGCCATTAGCCAAAGCTGTAATAAATGCCCTGAAACACAGTAAATTACGTTCTACAATCAGCATTAAAATCAATGCTACATGGATGGAGATGACAGGGGATTTACTCGAATAGAAAAACGAGGAGGAACCTCATTTGCCCTTCTAACAAGTTGAGTGCTAAAAAGAGTACAGAACTTCTAATGATAGGCAACGGCATGGTATCTTTAAGTCTGTGTCCAGCTGTTTCAGATAGGATTAGGAGCTTTTTTGTCAGGATAATTTAGAGTTGAAGTCCTGATGCCAAAATGAGACTATTTTTCTTGTTTTTAATTTGAACAATTTTTTATACCTAGTTTTTGCTAATCTCAAAGAGCCAGCTTTACAAGTGGCAATGTTTCCACTCTAATTTAAATTATTTTGGGGATAAAATATAAACGTTTTTTGTATCTTTGCTGATTTTTATGATTAAGGTTATTATTTTATTTAAATGCCTTTTAAAATCAGGACAACATAAAAAGAATGTACATCACTTAGTAAAGAGAATTAACACATCAATCTTGGGTTAGCAAAGAAAGAGTTACTTAGAAATTAGGTTTACAAAGTATTATGTAGCAAAGGGCCTTCTTAGAAACTTAGACAAAATCAAATTTAATCAGATATACTAATTTTTTAATAATAATTATATTAACATTCAGATTTATCATTTTTTTCTTGTTTAAAGTACATTGTTACATATTAGATCTCCATGCACTTTTAGGTTTAGTTGCATTTCAACAAACCTGAAGCGAACTGGTTGTTGTTGCTTAGTATCTTCACTGTCGGCAAAACAGGAGGACAAGAAAGAACGATTTAAGAAGTTAAAACAGCTCAAGTTTAACCATTGTTTAATGGAAATGACATATAAAAGTGATTAAAATTAATTAAAAAATCATTATTCAGGGACAAAAGTTAAATTTAAAGTTCTTAATCAGAAATGCCAGATGCGACATTGGATGATACAATGAAATGGATGACATTGCCACAATAATGAAAAAAAAATGTGATATATTAATTAGTAAATTTTGTGCTGAGGATATAAAATGACTTCAATGGAGAAGAGAGGAAAAAAGAAACTAGGAAATTAAAAATTAATAGGACAATGACAAAATGGTGAGATTATTAGCTTTAGAAAGTGTCAAAAAGCAATATTGTACATGAAATTAATGCTAGATGACATTCAATAGATGATAAACAGTATTATGTTTTTAAATCTAAAATTAATGATTTTCTAATTTCTCAAGGACAACATGTATCCAATACGGCAGCCATGCATGGTTAACATTATGATAATAATATAACAGCAACGTAGCTTTCCAGCCTATTAGCTTAACTCAAAATGCAGACATCTCACTGATCTGGTCTCGAAATGCTTTGGATGTAAAATATCATCCAAATTCCCTGCAGTAAAGGGCACATCCTTGGAAAAAAACCCAAGCTCACCCTGATGAGCCTACATTATACACCAGTAAGTGAAGGGCTTTTTTTTACAGGCTTCCAGGATTGATGTTTAAAACAGTTTATAAGCTTCATGGGAATTTTATCTCCTGACACCTGACTTAAAGCTGCAGTTGTGGCTGTATATGATAACAGATCTGTCAAAATACTGACAAGTGTTCTTACCTTGTATCAGGGCTGAAGTTGACCTTTGTTCCATGATCAAAATCGACATTTGCTCTTACATATCTAACGGTAAAATATAAGAAAATCAAACGATAAAATCAGTCACTGATGTCACTCTAACCATTTTTTTCAAAGAACTCTTGATATCTTTTTCTTTTTTTGTCTAATGGATCTGTCTTGGAGTTCTCCTGTATCAGCATTTTATCACTGTCTAAATGTTCTGAGAATTTGCTATTCTACATTATTTTATTTCCTTGGCTTAAGATGCCAATGTGTAAAATGTTTTGTGCAAGAGAACCACAAAGGAGTACAACTAGTCCAAGGGTACAATAATCAACCCACTGAGTCTGAGAACCTTTACCCTCTGTAAACATGAGGTCAACATCTGGCCACTCTTTAAAGGAAAGGAAGGACTGTTATTTTAAAATATTGTTCAGCTCTTATGAGCGCATTTTCATGCCTGTGGCTTAAAGTTTTTGTTCCCTGTTTTTCAGCAAAGGTAATACATCAGACTAGCCTTCCAGAGGACATCACCTTGTGCCACTGGCATTTGAAGGGGTGGCGAATGGTAAATGCCAGACTTTGCAAGACGACGAGATTAGCGTTTTTCTTTGCGAGCCCAAGACATTTTGATTTCTTCAATTGCGAGACCGAGACTTTAAAGTGTTTTAAATGCGAACTCAAGACATTCAGGTTCTAAGATGTTGTGATGCCATTTAACTTTACTAAAAAAAAAAATAAACAAATCGGTACTTCGCGACTTTCTTAGCCTTGACAAAAATCGAGACCGCAAGAGAGCTCTGGGAGAAAAATCAAGACTGCGAGACACACATAACTGCTAAAAAATGCGACTGCAAGACCCGTGAAATTCAGTGAAAATTTTGCGAGACCCTTGGTTTTTGGAGGACCATTTGCCACCCCTATTTGAATAAAAACTAAACATCAATGTATCATGCTATTAATTTTTGATGATTGTATTTTTTCTAGATTTCACTGATTCAAACATTTTCACATCTGATGGTGATTTACATTTGAGACATATTGCACTAATTTCACTCCAGTGGTGGGTATTTGTAGTGCATGCCCACTGCAACAATATAAGATAAAAGATAATGAACAAAGACAACAGACTCTTTACATTTGATTATTTTTCAGGTTTGAACAATACTTCTAAAATAAGGCAGCCACTTTCTTTTCATAATGTTGTGTATCCAAAGTGACTCGTCAAGTGGTGAATGGGGGAACAGTGAGGTCTGAAATGAGTAGACACAGGAAGGAAAAACAATAAACTGCAATTTCCATTCATTCAGGGGACCTGCAGAAAAGACTGACTGCTCACAGACTACAGTAAATAAATCCACAACATAACTTACTTATGTTCCTTCTCTTTGAAATCTTTTACACTCCATAGTCTTACTGTCCTGTCTGAAATACACATAAATAAATAATTTAAGTTCAAGTATTATTCTTTTTTCATTCACTACATTAATTTTGTGGTCCAAGTAGGATGTAAATGTGAAAGTTACAAGCTGGGTAAGGCTGATTGAAGGGCAAAATACAAGATTCTTTTAGTTTCTGTAGTCAGTAGAAGGCCTTCTTTTCTCTTCTAACATATTTTGGGAGTGATCTGGAAAAATGTAATTAGTGTATGCTACTCATGAATGATAAATTAATTATAGAGTCCTAAAGTGATGATGTCACAAAAACAAAATTTTTGAAATTATGGGATATGATGTCATATTCTTATAGAGGATCCAAAAAGATGTCCTCATCCCAAAAATTAGCTCTGAATTGCAATTCCCGATAGAGATATAAGGGATCAAAGTTTGATAGCATCCCATACAAACCCTTCAACTGACTCAAAATTAGAGAGATTTATATGGGGCAGTAGCAAATTTTCATCCTTTATATTTCGGCTGGGAATTACAATTAAGAGGTAACTTTTGGCAAGGACCCTTTAATAAGGACCCTCTATTCGAAAATGGCGCCAAATCCCATAATTTCTCAAATTTGTTCTTTTGTGACGTCACAATTTAGGACTCTATTTTTAAAAAAAAAAAAATACACAGAGATTTTTTGAAGTGATCATATGCTGATTTTAAGTGTACAAAATTATGAGGAAATATTTTTTTCAAACACAGTGTAGTTAAGTCCTGATCTGAATGCAAAGTATTTGGCCAACATAGCAATTCAAGAAAATATTTTTGTTTTGCCACGCAGATGGTGATCAGCTTCATAAAGTATCCATAAAGTAATAAACATTATTTTGTAATGTGTGGTTGCCAATTATACCCATGAGCTGATCAAATCAATCAAAATGACATATGAGACAAAGGAAGTCCCACAAATGGTATGCCAGCCATGAAAGTTCATCTTCAGGTTTCCAATTCGAGAACCAAAGAATTTTAAAACTTGTTAAGCCAGGTTGCTTTCTTTAAATAAATCTGTGAAATGAATTTTGAAGATGTATGTTTTAAAATAATAGTTAATTATTTAACTTAATTAAGCTTGCATTTATCTCCCTTGCCAATTAAGATGTATTTTGAAATCAACAAATTGAAGAGAAACTTATTTTGGGACAACTTTGAAAAATATCATGGAAAAGAACATTTCTCTGGCCTTTCCCTTGAAAAAAACTTTTTGAGAAACTAGACCTGAGTAACAATGGTATTGAAAATAAACCAAAAAACCTATGTTACACAATGAGACTATAAAAAAATTAATTTACATTATGAACCCAAACTTCAGAACATGTTTGTGTACTTCATCCTGTGTATATTTAAAATGAATATGCCACTTGATACTTCCAGCCTCACACTTATCAACAAAACAATGCTTAATAAGATAAGCTACAAATTGACTAACTCAATTTTCTGGATTGTTGAGTTTGTATGTGAGGGGGATTCCACCGGGGAAAGATTCAAGGAGTTGTGACAAGTATTAATCCTTTACCAAAACAGACTTGAAAATCTACGACTCAAATGCAATAAAATTTCACAAATTTGCGCTAACGAATTGTATAAATAATAAATTGTTTACGTAAAAATACGTTTTAGATAAACGTCTAAATAAAAAATAACAAGCTTAATGCCCTCCTTTACGTGATATATCCTCTGTGTACGTGGACACATCTCTAAGCATGCAAGCGGCTACATTATAAAAGAAAACTTATTGAATTTATATTTCTTTGTGACAACCTTGCGAAGTTGAGGCCATGTATTTTCCATTCAAACTAAACTCCAAATCGAAAACATCTCCTGTGTGGCCTTTCAGAATAGCAAACTGTCTTCGATGATTCTTCACTGGCGCGTTCCCTCGTTTGCCTTTCGTAGTCTTTGCTTTGTCTTTTCTCTCTCCGCTGAACGCCTGTTTTTCTTCCAATTCACTTTTAACAGTCTCAGAACTGTCATCCTTTCTCTGTTTACTCTTGAAGCCGATAAACAGAATAACTACTAACACAGCAGCGGCAATTAAAGAGGTTGCTATGATTGTCCCAAGAGTGGCGACCTCGACGCCCGCCATGTTTCCTAACGATTACAGCACATGTATGGGAGCCTCGTTTTCACTTCACGCTTTTTTTTTTTTTCGCGCTTTTTCACGCGCGCAAAACGCTGCATAAGCTCGATTCATACAGTACTACTCTTCAAAGCAACGTTTTTTTAACGAACACAATTTTTCGATTAAATGAGATAAACCTTTGTAAAGATTCTATTTTTTTAGCGGCGGAAAAAAAAACAATGATTAGCGTAGCATTGAATTAGCTCACCTGAAGAACTTGACATTATGTATTTTCCATTACTGCTGAATTCAACTCCTTCTACAAAAGCATCATGTCCTGACAAGGAGGCAGCCTGTAGCGGATGGGTAACGCTAGGCATGCTAGTTCCTGTTACTTGAATTTTTATACTGGTCCTTCGCACGACGCCTGTATCCCCGCTTGCAGCCAGGACTAAATACTAGGTGGAACTATAGCAACCTTCTCAAGACATGAAATAAAACGGACCTGCGCTAGCTACTGGAATTTATACAAACTCATAAATTGACGTTCGTTTTAACTTGAGCAGTTGAAGTTCTAGTTCCGTAATTCAGCGTAAAGTAGCGTGGCGTTGAAATTATGAATTTAAAACAGCCAGATAGCAGGTTGTGTGAAAGCTTTATACCCTGGCATTCGGCCAATGTCGGCTGCGCTAGTTTGTGTGTTATAAGGCGCGCGCGCAGTTGTAGGTGTGCTTACAAATTGCCACCAGTTATTTTGCGCAACCAACTAGCTAATTATGGATAAAGCAGATGCGTGGGTCGCAGGCTGCTGAGTGGAAAATCAAATCAAATTAATTATTTAGTCTCGTGTGGCCATGGTTAACGATAACAGCAAATAAAATGGACTCTGCAACTATTATGTGCTCTCAAGCAGACACTATCCATCAAGCAAAATGATATTACGAGATTTCGGTTATTGGGTTACCAAAAGAAGTTTATGGAAAGCGTCTTAACATGCAAATTTTCGGTTCAGTTTCTAGATGGTTTTGAGAATCTTAAACGTTTAACGCGGAAATCAGCGCGTCGGATTTGATGAAACTGCCTGAAAACATCATTGATTCAACTAACACAAGCTTATTTTATTTGTCTGGTATTCAATGCGTTTAATTAGGATTGCATGTTATAGCCTTTACAGTCTGTAAAAAGGATATTGCCGTGTGATATATTGAAAAGGGTACTCTCTTACTTTGAGCTACTTAAGTGTGGCACGTGCCTTGAGAATTAGTAACACAAGATAAAACTATTACTAGTCGCCAAACAAGGCTCGCACAATAACAGTATATCGTACAAATATCATTAGTTTGTTTCTTTGCAGTATTGGATCTCTCCCGCTGAGAATTTTAAATGGAAACAAAAACTCGTCTTAATAGATTTTAAGTTTTTTAGTGGATCTTCAGTGGCACCAAACAAGTTTATTTTGCATACAACGTTGAAGTTTTTTAAAAACATTTCAAGTCTAGCTATTGAGTGAATTTCACTGATTAATAGAAAAATGAACAAAAAAATAAAGCTTTTGGTTGTATATCACAAATCATGATTCAATTTTCACTTCGGCGTGCATTGATCAATGGTTCTCGGTTTTGAAATCAAAGAATCTCCTCTTGTTACAAAAATCAATAAAAGGTTTGCGCGTCAGATTGAAAAAACGTTTATACGTCTATTGTTACTGAGTATGAACACTGAATTAGTATGCAGGCTTTCACCTGTCTTGTCTAGTCAAGTATGGTATTTGCTTTCCCTCGACTTGGCTTGAGCTAGCTGTTAGTAAGGAGAGTTCTATTTATCTACGTATTTTCTTAGTTAGTCAAAGTCGAGATCCCCAGGTTTAATAATGAAAAAATGACCCCATGTACACACCTCGATACAAGTACCGAACTCAGATTAACGGCTCCGAGCGATTCCTTTGCATTTCAGGTTATCTCAAGGGAGATATCTCATGTTAAAAATATAGCGTGGATATAGTTTCATAAAGGCTTTTGTTCTTCGGCCATCGTAGCATACGAAACGTCAAGTTATTAAAATGCGTAAGTTTAATATGTTTATCACCGCTATTTGTGTTTTATTCCTCGTGGATATAGTTACTCGGTAACTTCTCTATATACTTCATACGTACACAACTGACGGAGAAAAAAATTGTTTTTTTGGTTTTGTTTTGCTTTTTTTCATTTCGGCTTGATTGAGTGAGCCGATTTCGATTTGGAATCGGATTTAAGCTCGGTGAGTGAAAACTGCAGCTGATAGGGGAATAAATAATTAATTCAAACTTATAGTGCTTTAATACAACAGTATTAACAACAGTAAATCAGCGCTCCGCATTTTACTTACTAATGGATCATACAGTAATCAAGAACTGAAACATAATTAGAGACGACAGATCAATTTACTTTTAAATACGTCAGCGGCTTCATGGGGAGATTTCAAAGGGATAGCTTTGTCTGAACCGGAAAAAAACTATCGCTTCTCTTCTTTTTTTCTTTTTCATAAAATCTCAAATTTATCTCTTCGGTGACAGAAATGTCACACTGTAGTCATATTGACTGCATGAAACAGCGCCTAAAAGTTTGTTGATAATTCCAATTCCGGTTAAGACGTTTCTACGACCTTCTATACCAGTGGCTCAAGTGATTTCTAATGGCCCCAAGTTTCCCAACTAAAGTGAGCTTTTGATTAGCGACCGGCCTTTAATAGAGTTCACTGAGAGCTGTAGGGAAAGCTCTTTTCTAGCCTGCGATCAAGCGTTCTTTTCTTACCCTTCCCCGCGAGCTTCTTCTTCTAAAAAAAAAAGTAATAAACGCCTGATTTAGCCCTTTTCCTGCGCGGAGAATGGTTACTGATACCCAGTCTCTCTCGGTTATCTACACAGGTGCGCTGTCAAAATGGCGAGAGCGAACAAGCTAAAATCTCAAGCTTTGATCACAAAAAACGTTCTTTACGCTGGAGAAGGGGAAATACCATTATTTGAACACGGATCTAAGGTAAAATTAACTACTCATAAAGACTTCCTGTAGATAAATTTAAATGGTCTCGCGAGACATAAGATAAATTAAAAGTAGATATACTCACAAATCCTTTGGATTTTTAGGCTACTTTTCATTTCAAAACGTTCAAAAACGATGAGGACAAGACGCCGATAGACTGCAGTCGTGATCTTGGACAGCCCTTTGAGCTCCTTATCGGGAAGAAATTCAAGCTGGAAGTTTGGGAGGAACTTATAAAAACAATGAGAGAAAAAGAAATCGCTCGTTTCACTTGTGATAAATCGGTAAGATCAGCTAAAAGCTTATTAAGCTTATATTTTTTTTTTTGTACGTTAGCTACGTTTTACTAGCTTTTATTATATGGCTTGTGTTTCTAGCCGATATAACGTGCACTCTGATTGGCTAATTGTAGGGCATTGTTATCCTGTAATGCCCACAGGCCGATTATGGGCCTGCAAAAACAAAGCAAAAAGCCATATAATAAACAACTTATTAACCTCAAACTTTCGGTTTTTATGGGAAGATCTCAAAACTCAGCCTTCCAGTATTGACCTCACTATTGCTCAGTCAATACTGCAAGGTCTCAGTTTGAGATTTTCCAGTAAAGACCTCAATATTGGTTAATAAGTGGTGCAGTGTTTATTTTCTTTATATTAAGAAACACTTTTCCATACATGGTCAAACCAGGCTGGCAAAGTCACCTCACAACCAGTCAATTTATCCTGTGTCTGACCCTCAATGAAACCCCTATCCCTCCTAAAGCAGATATCTGTGCCATTCCACTTATACTCCCTCCTCTGAAGATCGTGAATGAAATGGCTCTTAGAAGTCATTCATTATAATGAAACGCTTTAATTTGTGCTGGAAATATACATAAATAAGAGGATTTTGCCTGATGCGTTGGCCAAATCGTGAACATGTGAAAGCTGGCCACTGTTATAATTTGTTTTTGTTAATAGTGATACGCAGTTTTAACTTAACACTTGTGTTGTTAGCTTGTAGGAGGCTATGCAATAGTTTCCAAGAGTCTCCGTACAGTTGCAAAGAAAGCAAAAGGAGAATTAACAGAAGAACATAATCATCATGAACATTCTTGCAGTTTGTCTGCCATGAAATCAACTGGTTATCCAGACTTAGACGACTTGCTTGTCAATGAACAAGATCTTATCTTTGAAATAGAACTTTTAAAATATGAGAAACCTGGTGAGTTCCAGAAGGAAACTTGGCAGATGGATGCTGATGAGAAATTGTCCAATGTACCAAGCTTAAAAGAAGCTGGAAATAGACTATATCAACAGAAAAGGTACAAAGAAGCTGCAGAAAAGTATGCCGAGGCATTGGGTTGCTTGGAACAGCTTTGTCTGCATGAAAAACCTGGTGACACACCTTGGCTTAACCTTGACAGAATGAAAATTCCTTTCTTATTGAACTATGCTCAGTGTAAGCTTTTTCTTGGTGATTACTATGAAGTTATTGAGCATACAACGACAGTGCTTGAAAAAGATAAAGACAATGTCAAGGCTTTATATCGACGTGCCAAGGCTCATGTGAAATGTTGGAATCCTAAGGAAGCCAGAGAGGATTTCAATAGAGTAGCAGTTCTTGATCCATCACTCACAAAAATTGTCAAGAAAGAGCTTGTAGAACTAGAAAGGCTTGCCAAAGAACATGATGCAGAAGACAGAGATAGATTGAAAACACTTTTCAAGTAGCCCTTTGTAAAGCTAAGCTATCTCAAATGTTCATTGTCAGTGGTAACTAAAGAATCATGAATTTCCATAAAAGTATGGATTTGTTACCTGGTGAAGCTATCAGAACTTTTAAAAATCATTAACTTTATTGTGTTTAAAACAGAGTAATAACTTAGCTGTACTTTATAAAACTCAGTACTTTAATTTATTTACATGTACAAAATGTGGAATTAAGCCCGCCCACATCATTAGATGCAATGGGAGCTTTCTATTTAAGTCAAACAAAGCCAGTGTTTGTTTCCTTTTTATTCGCCATCTACTATATACTGGCAGAAGCATATCACCTCTGCAAGGTGTTAAGCTTCTGATACTGGTAATTACTATAAGATTAGCAAAATATTATAACGTGTATTTGTCTCAAAAAGCTCAGTAGAAAAGATAGCAAAACTTGCTGCCACATTATTATAGCAATTATAGCATAACTGGTTGAAACAAAAGTGCATATTTTCCACTTTTAATAGAAATGAGAAGATACCTAGGGTGCTTATTAGGTTGCATTTGCTCGCTTTCTCACCCCACTTCTTTAATCTCTACTTAATATAATTATCTTTACCTTGCTAATCCAGCAATGGTGGTCAGCGGGGTGCTCAGGTGACACATTTACAGTGAAGGACGATGAAAGGATATAGACCTCGCACTCACATGTCTGGTACATAACCACGGCAGCAATTAAAGAACTGTATTTGTTTATTATTTACTCTTGCCCCAACTTTAACACAACTAAACTTTATTTGTTCACCCTCTCCCTCAGAATACTTGCTGTGCAGGCTAGTGGGACCATTAATGGGGACAAAGCAAACGATGAGATCCCACATTATGCTCAGTAACAATCCTGCAAGCAAAGGAACATGAGTCTCGCCACAGATTTCTTCTTTTTTCTTGTGGCAAATGATAGTTTTTAGGCTTTCTACAGAAAAACCCTAATTACAGTTATTGTTTTCTTTTTTTGTTTGTAGGGAGGGGGGAGGGAGAGCTGGCCTTGCTCAAGGAACCTGCCCTGGTTATCAGAGCCTAAACCAAAGCATGATACAGTTTATAGAACTGTGCATGAAGAAGCTACTTGTATACTGCTTTGATTTTATTACTAGTAAATTAGACTGTTCACAGTCTCTCTATTATTCATCACATGCAAAAGAAAAAGCAAGCTAAGCAAGTGAGAAGCACAAGGGGGTAGGGGCAGGGAAGCAAGCCACCCCCTCCTTCCTCAAGTCTCTCTCATTTTACACTGGCATCCAGTTCTCTCACGATTCTATCTGCCTGCTCAGTGATCGAATTAAAATATGAGATAATAGAGGGCTGTGAACAGTCTATAATTTTCTTAATATGTTGGTTATGGCAGGAGCCCTGGTTATGAGCATTTTAATGAAGCAGAAAAAGATTGGCTGAATGTTTTATTTTTCACCCAAATTATTCTAATTTCATTTATTGCTCATAATTTGTGTCTAAAACTTGTGAAGGGTAACCTGCTAGCCACAAAAGTAAGTGTACAGAGAGATATTCCAAGATCCTAAATTTCAGGTTACGGATCACCGATTCCTAATTTTCCTGTCGCTTGGTTGCGCGTTTGTGCGTCCCCTTGACCAATCGGAGTGTTGCTCCAGGACTTCGCATTTTCTTTTCAGCTGTGTTTTTGCCTAACTGAAACATGGCGTCCAAACTTATAACTGATGCCTTTCCGAAAGTCAAGAAGGACAGGCCGATTAACCAAAAAGAACAGCCAAAAAAAACTTCAGTCTTAAGCGAAAACGGTGAGGTTAACCTTAAGCTGTTTTTATTCGCTGTGAATTAATCTGGTGCGAAGTGTAAAGGTCTATAAAGTTTCTACTTTGTTTCAAAAATGTTGCACAGATGCCGAAGTTTTGAAGGATCAAACTTCGGACCTCACAGAGGAGCTCTCGGTCTTAAAAGAATTCGACTTAGATTCCGAATTTGGACCATGTATTGGTATGTTATATTTGTTGTTTATTACTCATAAAAAGAATGAATTAAAAAGAGTGAAATATTTGTTTCAACTTTTGTCTCGTTTCAATAATACTTGAGGCCCTATTAGGAAGTTCTTAGTCTCTTGGACTCCACCAGGCTATTTACTGGTTTGGTATATTTACTTTTTAGGAATTACCAGGCTACAGAGATGGGAGCGAGCTAAGGAATATGGACTCTACCCTCCCGAGGAGGTTAAAGAAATCATTTTGAAACACCCTGATGACACAGCATTCACTGAATGGTAAACAAATTCTGCTTCTGAGAGTTGCACACTTCTGAGAGTAGTCCGGTTTGGCTCTCTCTCTGACAGGCTAGGCATGACAGAGAGAGTACCAGACTTGGACTGATCACACTCTACCATCATGCACCTATTCTAATCAGTTTTTCTATTGGTGGAGTGACATTAAGAAGCTCTTTTTTACACATTTTTGACTACGTGAAGTTTAAACTGGGTCTCACAGGCGGACACATCTCAAACTCAGCTTTGCAGACACATCAGTAATATTGAGTGGAAGATGGACAAATCACATTGATTTATGTTGATAGATATTACCATAGAATTTCAAAAGTAATGCACCCCTTCCTGAAAATAACTGCTCCCTGAATGTAACATTAAATTTTTACCTTCCTATTGAACCCTGAAATTGACGGTCTCCCTGAAAGTAACGGCCCACCCGAAAGTAGTGGCTCTTTCAAGAAGTCACTAGAAGAGAAACTCTCTGATCTCTTGAAAGCGCAATGTGAATGAAAAAGCCTGACTGCAGGACTGAACTTCTTTCAGGAGTTATTTGTGATTTTATTTCGAATTTAACTGAATGTTTCTTGAAACTATGATTTATAGGCTGTATTTGTCTGTTAGTGACGTCAAATGATACACTCAGTGTAATTAGTTGTTCTGCAATATGATGCGACCATTATACGTTCACCCTACGGTACCACTAACCAACATTGAGAACCTTTTTTGTTTATACATTCTGCTTTGTTTATGTGGGTAGTTAGAAACATACACAAATGGAACTTTTAATTTCATGTGTTATGTGTCCCCTTTGTCTGAAGTGACTGTGAATTACATGTGTCGTACAAACATTTTTTAACCATCCAAAAGTAACAGCTACCCAAAAGTAATGGCCCACTTTGCCTACTAAATCAAAAAGTAACAGTGACTTTTACTTTCGGAATTCTAGGGTAGTGCAGATATCAGCAGTTCATTGTCAAGACATAAACTTGGATAGGTAGATGTTTCAGGCATGGCTTTGGTACATCTACATAAAGACATGTTTAAGATTAATCAAAGAAGTAGCTAGTGTTTTTTTTTGGAACTGCAAGGGGTTAACTTTTTAACTTTTTTCTTTGTTTCAGTGTATGGTATGATGCTAATCTCTGATGAGAAACAATACAGTATATTGAGCCTGTTATGCACAAATGTTATTAAGCATTTGTGAACAAGTGAACCACTTTCACAACATAACTGAATGTCTTTTTTAATGAACAAAAAATAACTTACATGTACTGTACAACATGTACTGTACAACAAAACTAAATATTATTGTGTATTTTTTCTGTACTATATTAGAAAGACCGATTTGGTGTTTGGTTCCTGTGAAATGTTCCTGTTAGATTTAAAACAACCTTCAATTAGGTAATTTTTATTTGATCTTATTAATATTAAATGTGAGCTGTAAGAGAAAGATAGATAGCAATCAACACTTATGAAAAGTAATGTGCTGGTATTGTTCTTTATGTCTTAAATATTCCATTCCATATGATGGAGCCCACCCCCCACCCCCACCTCCTCTACTTCATAAACAAAAAATGTTGGCATAGATAGCTCACCAAGCTTTGAATTTTATAGCCACAAAGCATACAATTGACTACTACCCTGACGGCTATTTTAGGGAGAAATGACTTTTCATCCGATTTCTCTATATAGGCAATCTGCAGTAGACCCTGATATTACATAGTTATATTAATATAACACACATGTAGTAGTCAAGTTTGAGATTATTATTGTACAGTTTTGTCACAAACTAATCCCAGAAAAGCAAATTGCTGTGTTACATCAGTACATGGGCAATTAGAAAACTGTTAGTAGTGTTAATGATAATATTATCAGATTGGAGTTCATAAATGAACTGCTCATCCCAGCCCATAGCAAAATTGTCTTGACAACTGACAGAAAATCAATTGTAACTTGAAACCTGCCTTGTTTGTATTGATAAAACGTTGTCAACTTCAATTATAATCTTCAAGCTTGTAATAAAATATTATTGTCATGTATTAACAACTGAGCAACTTTGAAACTCCTCAAGTCTCCATTAAATAGTTACTTGAAAAAAACATTCCAATTTTTCAAAAACTGACAAACGTTTCACTCCCTTTAGTATACAATATAATAATTATATAAAGAAGGGGTAACCAAAATGAAACAAATACAATGGCAAAAATACCATTTTGGACAAAAAAGGGATTTGGCCTGAAAAAGGTATCAGACAAAATATTCATGCAAATTTACACATTATGGAGATTAAAAATACCAGTGGTTTCACTTTCTTCAGGATGTTCAGTCTTTCAGATCTGACATTATAATCTAGAGTCTGAAATCCATGGGAAAATAATACTGCATTTAGTTGATTTGACTTGTTATACAACAGCTTCTGTTCTCCCAGGAATGAGTTGAACCTTCTTGTAACATGCCATACTGCAAACTGGCAGGTCATTGCTGGAACATGAGTATTTCTTCAAATTGTTACATCCTTGAGCTGAACATGTCGGCTTTGGCTTTGGAGATCTAAGAAAGTACCAAACATTTCATGCATCAGTTGTTTACTGGAACAAAAATCATGACAAATAAACAATACAAACCACACAAAGTCAATATGATCCAGCTGGGTTTTACAGTAGAGATAGTTTCTTGCTTATGTCCATACAGTAGCCCTAAATGGGTCACTGGTGCATTGATTGCACCATTTAGCTTTTACAGTTGTATCCTTATGATTACAGTCACATTTATCAAATTCAAGACTTTTGTGATACAGTGGTTTCAAAGGGTGATAAGAAGTGACCAAACACAAACAGAAGAAACCTTGAAATTCAATCCCACCCATCTAATTTTATTCCAAATATCAAATTAATAACTTACCCTTGAGTGGATTGCACTTGTAATGGAAACTCCAACCCTTTAGAAAAGGACAAAGCGAATCCTGTGTAATTACTGATGTACCTAATGTGAGGTACTTCTTGCTTCCTTTTCCGGGCCTGCAGTAAGAAATGTCACATGTTACTTTCAGTGATAATGCAAAATATGATCCAAATTTGGGTTCAATGAAAGACTCCTCTATATTATACCTTCTCCTCTTCTTTGCGTGATCTTGTAGCTTCTCTATCCAGCAGTTTCTTCACGGTTTGAGTCTGTTCAAAATTGAAAACAAGAGTGAATTATAAAGATCTTTTGTAATGACTTAAATTATATTTTAACATTTACCTTGTTTTCCTCAATTTTTTTCTGCATTTGCTGTTTTCTCTTCTTGGCTCTTTGCTTTCGTCTCTTCTGAGCTTCTTCAGTGTCTTCATTTTTTCGCCTTGGTTCTGAAATTATCAAACATGGTGAAATATTGAAATAAAACCATGTAGTACTGGTATATAATAAATTATTATAATGGGAAATTCTCTTAGCAAATCAATTCTTTCAAATACCTGTTGGAAGCTCCAAAAGTTGATTTTCACCCTCTATTTCATGTCCAAGCATGGCTCTCTGAAAAAATGTAGGCAAAATAAATTTCTCACTTTATGAAAGGAAGTCTTACTTCCAAGCCAAGAGAAAGAGAGTTGATTCAACACAGCTAATGCTGTAGTTATTTTGCTACTAACAGTGTACGTACCATCTGCCATCACTTTAATTTCCAAGTAGAGTGAAAGTTGGCACATGGGTAATGCTTTTTTCTAGCAACACTTACTGATATCACCAAACTGCCACAGGAAATTGCAATGCACAAAAAGCGCAAACGAGAATTTCACATCTTGTAGGGATCATACCTGTCTCGCAGTCATCATGCTCACATCCTTGTCCTGTTTGACCCGCCCAAAGTCATCCAGTTCACCTTTCTCTAAAGCGTCTAACCACTTCTGCTCTTCTTGTCTGTAGAACGATACAAAAATATTCAGCTCTAACTTTTATGAGACTGTAGCTTGGAATTTACTGTACTTATCTTGCAGTCTATCAAGGAACATGTAACCTGATTGCCATTAGAATAATAAGATACTGGAAACTGTGACATACTCATCAGAATCTCCATGATGTTTCTCTGCAACTTCAGGTTCTTCTTTTTCACTTCCTAAAGGAATAGTCACCAATAACACCTATTATTATATGGCTAGCTCTGTGAGCGGGCAAGATGAATCAAATCCTGTGCTGTGATTAGCTACCCGAGTGGGCAAGATGGAGCTATCTTGCCCGCTCAGGACTACCCACCGTGTCCCGCAAGAAAAATTTCCCCAAAAGCCATATAATAAATCCTTTATTGACCAACCTTGTTCGGCCAAGATGGCTGGATATTGGCCTTGTTCTTTTTTTGCGTGTTTATGGACCTCAACTCCATCTCGGTCCATAAACACGCAAAAAAAGAACTTGGCCAATATCCAGCCATCTTGACCTCACACTTGGTCAATAACCCATATTTATTATTGCATTATCAAAACTTTCATAAATTAATGCTTGCTCTTGGATAAATCTGCCAGTGTCACACTAGATAAACAGTATTGGACTCACTGTGCCTTGGTTTATAAATAACCTATGTAGAGACATTTCAGCATGTAGAACTTTACATAATATTATTGCCTGTATAGACAGAGTAGTACTCCAGTATCTATGGATATTATATTGGTTTTTGTTCAGTACTAACCTTGCCAAGATGGCTGGTAACTGTCCTCTTCAGCTTCTTCCTCCTCCCCACTGGTTATAACAGGCTCTGGTAATTTAACTGGAACTATTTTGGCCATTCTAAAAACACACGAGTAAATGTAAAATGGTACTGCTGCTACTTTTATGAGAGAAATAGAAAAGAATTGCCTGTATAAATATGAATTAAATAATTTGTCAATGAAATGAGCCCTCTTGACAAGCATAACTTTTGTCAACCACACATCCAAGCTTTCCTAATGAGCATGTCATACTCGCTCACAAATGTATGGCAACTGATGTCCAACTGTCATTACCAGCTCACCAGTCTGAAACTGGGTGTCAATTTTCTTATTACAATAGGTCTGTGAGGGATGATTTAGGAGAATTCACTTGCTCCACAAGCAATGTTACCATGGCACTAAGCAATCCTATTCACCTTTACTGTAATTTTAATCCCAGATACAGTGTCACATTACATGACTCCAGCTATTTGTTAACTCACTGTGTTGTTGCTAAAGTTTCACCCCTGAGTTTTATCTTAAGGGTCACAGCTTTTCCTTCATCTTTGTTCATGTCCCTGTCTTTTTCTTTCTCTCTTGATCTGCTCTTGTCTTTGCTCTTTTCCTTTTTACGTTCCTCGTCATAACCCTCAGGTCCATGATCCTTCTTTTTCTTGTGCTTTTTATGTTTGTGCTTGTGTTTCTTTTTAGGGGATGTAGAAGAAGACTCTGTGAAGAGAGAAATGAAGGGCATATATTAACACCCTATGTGGCATCCTTTCCAATCAGAATATTTTACTTGACATTTTATTTTCCATGAGGGAATATTCATAATTTAAGTAAGATAATATATATGCTCATCGTGTTAACCTGATACTCAGTTATCTAATGTACGCAAAACAATACAATGCTCCACTTTTAAGTTTACCATAACCTTTAGGTTACTGGTTGCTTTTATTCATATATTTCATCAAAATTTATTTTGCTTAATTATTCAAATGATTTTACCTGGTTACCCCTTATCCTAATCATTACCTAATTGAGGTTTATATATTTTTTTGAGAAATATTATTGTTATTAACAAAAAAGCCATAGTTATTTACATTTTGCACATTCAAAGCTTACATCCTGATCAAAAGCTAACCTCTCCCTTCTGAACGCAAGTTTAAAGAAACACAACTCGGTTGAAATCGACCCAGATCACTACATATCCACAGTAGAAGTATGCGATAAAGCAGATAAGATAAGAAAGCGGAACCTTAATGCAAGATAACTCATTCTACAGCCTCGCTCGGAGTTTCATTCTTGTTTCGGAGGAACGTTTCGCGTTTTGAGTTACGAACGCATATATCGTGTGAACTCTTGATCATTAAACACGCTGTATTAAATATTTCCTCACGCTTGCAATGGCATAAGTTAGCAACTACTACCCACCTCTAGTGTCCTCTTCACTCGCTTCTTTTCGCTTTGGCATGATTAATTCTTTTGAGTTCAACACTTTCCAATATGGCGCTGGCCTCGTTTTCGTGATGACTGTCGCCCGCGTGATGCAGTCCACGCGCCCCACGCGGGTGTTCCCACGCGCACCTGTGGTTAGGACATATTAAACTCAAGGGAGCAAATTGCTGAAACCCCCAGGTCTTAACTTCCCCGGCTTTTCCAGTGTATTGACTCTTTCTTTCACACTTATACCTTTTTACATCTTACATACTGAGCACCAGGGAGTGTCCCATGCTGGCGCAACCCCAATATTTTTCTTCAGGTGCCCACCCGGAGACAAACCTTTGATCAAAGTACAAGGGTAAATAAAATTATTTTCTGATATCATTTGCAAGGTCGAAATCAATGACTCCCGAAACTACGGTATTATACATCTTCTAACATATTGATCTTCCCTGGGATTAAGATTATTGCCATAGGTTTCGCATATTTTTTTAATTTTTTTGGCCTGAACTGTTGTTGTCAAACAGGATCGGACAATTCAAGTTCTTTCATTATATAGGAGGTATGTGGTTTGTTTTGTTTATAATGGACTACGCATTCGTTGTATAAAGCATTTCCACTTGTATTCTTCATCACTAATAATTGATGACCATAATGAAATAAGAACCGTTTCAACTTTTAGATGGTATTTTACAAATACAATTTGTTGTAGTCTTTTTCCCGGGGTGTCGGGTCCGTTTCGCGTGCAACATGATCACTGGCGCCAGAATCCCCAGCTCCGGTTTCAAATCCACTAAATTATAAAGAACAAGCAAATCATTTCTCCATACTGGAAATACTTGTTTGGATTTAGATTATCAAAAACTTACTCAGCTCAGTCTAGAAGTATCGATGACCGTGATTTCCGGGTCCTGGGACAAGGTTTACATCCGGACGGAGAGTGGGGAGGGCCTTCGAGGCACGTCACGTGATTAATTAGATTTTCGCGTTTGTTTTTCTCGGGTTTTTTCTGCCTTTTTTCATTTTGCGATAATCGAGTTCAGGACCGTAAAAGAAAAATATCGAGTCGGAGATGAAGTCGGTTCAGAGGACGCCCCAGAGGAGTCTGGCTGCGCATGCTCAATTCGTTCCCAAAAGCAGCGATCCTTTTGGTTATCAACAAGAAATCGAGACCTCTGAGAGAAATCAGAAGTGGGTAATACTCTCTCTACGCATATTGTACTTGAACGCATGCGCACAATCAAACAGGAACCAGGATCTCCTTGTGCTCTTGGGACGAGATTGAATCATCGGCACAAGAGAGAACGCACAGGTCAATAGGAACTTAGAAGCAAACCAGTACCCAGTAAACCAGTAACCAGTAACGGTAACCAAAGGGTTTAATGATTAGTACAACAGCTCTTTATCACAGTTAACTTCCAGTCCGGCAACAGTGTTATGTGGGAACAGAGTGGCGGAACCTGTAAGAATTGAGGAGCACAACTTAGAGATTTCAACTATCTTGGAAGCACCATTTGCTATGATGGAGGACCATGGAGGCGTTAGCAACTACATCCGCAATAGGCTCAGCAAGGCAAAATCAACCTTTACGGGTCTGAGGCAGGTCAGTAGCACAAAAACTAAACTTAAGATCTACCAAAGCTGTGTATTGTTAACACCACTTTATGGCTCTGAGTACTGGAGGATGGTTAAGCAAGATCCCAGCTTCCTCACAACTTCCCTACGTAGAATCCTTCGTATTTTCTGGCCTAGCCTGTGAACAGGGGGCGGCTGTACATAGGCTATTTCTGGCCCAGAACTATCTCAAATAAGGATCTTCTACAACGGACCGAACAGGAGGAAATGAGAACAATCCTGAAGGAGCGGCGTTTGAGGTGGATTGGGCACGTATTACGGAAGGATGGAACTTCTAACTGCTGTACATTGGACACCAGAAGGAAATTAACCTGACTAAAAACATGGCGCAAAACAGTAGAGGAAGAGATACAACAACATTATCAGTGTTGTAGCACGATCGAAAAGGGCACAAAAGACCGGTTAGAATGGAAAAGCCTCTTGGCACATTTTTTTGCCGCAATTTTTGAATGTTTATGAAAAATAAAATACCAACAGTAAAATCACCTCTTTTAAAATGAACTTTATTTCACCACTGAAAAAGTATAGTGCGCATCGTAAAACTATGCAGACACCATACAATTCTGTTCGATAGTTCAGTTCCGGATCACACCCGTTTTATTTAACTAAAATACATGCACTTTACTCTGTAATCAAAGAATGTACACAAGGATAGTTTCAACCTGAAGTCGGCCGAATAATAGGAATAGGCAGCCTGGGAATGACAAGCCGAGTACACATTCTTATAAAAAAAAGAGTGTAGAGTAGGTATAAAGACACTCAAAATTAGGAGGTCGATAATTTAGAAAAAAGAACTCCTTCAATCAGCTCTGAAATAATACAATAATTGTCTTTTCCTGACTGTCTGTGATAAACCTCGATTATGAGTATTTGTTTTGACATCAACAAGCTAAAATGTATCTATTTCAAAATGTTGCTTTTCCAAAGCTTCCATGCATGTTAGCTATAAAGTGAGTACCTCAAATGAGAACAGGAGTTCGAAAAAAGAGCACCCCCAATTCTTCACATCATTTCTCTCCCACCCCATCCCACCACTGAAACATATATTTGCAAATTTATTTGTAGAAAGACACCTCTTATTACATTGGAAACTGGAAATTTTATCATCAAATTGTGTCAATACTCCAGTTGAGATGAGTTATATTGTATTTTTGTCAAAAAAATAGACAATATTTAAAGTTTACGTTGCAAGAATCTAGATTTCGCGGAGCATATCAACATTTTCCACCTAATAGCACAACACTAAGTTACTTTCGATAGGAAAATGTTTTAACCTCGTATCGCTGTTCAACAGCAACGGAGATTATCGCGTGAATTGTTTAGTAATTAAGTTATTTACAGACCCACTATCATCGTCTGACATTTTCTAATATTATATCTTCTTCATCGTCGTCTGTATCATCAGAATACTCATTGTTTAGCAGTGCCTTGGAATTAAACGAATTGAGCGATCGTTCTTGTTCGTAATCCATCACGTAGCCATTTCTTCGCACTTGCAGGTGTTTTCGGTATCGCACGAGACGCCATAATCCTACCACAATAAGAATCAACACTACCGTCACCAGACCACTGATTCCCACCATGACAGCCATTGGCAGACCAAACACAAGGTTTTGACTGGACAGTGTAAATTTCACTTGTGTCGCGGGCTCATTTGGATGAACTTGGACGTCTTGCGTCACTTTTTCCCGCCCTGGAGCCGACGCGGTAACCTGATAGGTTCCTGGTGTAAGAATACGCCAAAAGTCGCCGTCTTTGGCTGTTGTGACGTCGTGATCGCGACCTCTTACTGAGATCACTGCGTTCTGTATAGGAGAACCTGTGTCGTCATACACGAAGCCTTTTACACCGCGATGCACCTGAAGAGAAAAAACAAAAGTTCATGTATTTGAACTCAATACTAACTCTTCAATCATTCACCAGCGATTTGTTTCCACCCTCTTTACACTTGGAAAACAAATCCAGAAAAGGAGATTGCTGGAATATTAGCGAATGACAGAGGGTTAAGTCCATTACAGTCTATGCATTGGAGGATCGAGATGGATTATCACTCCTGGGGCCTGTTTCTCGAAAGCCCCGGAAGCTTTTCGGGCTCGAAAAGCCATTTTTAGTTAATCGGTATTTAAAGACAGAGGGGAGAAATCCCTATCATCGTTTAGGTTTCCCCAATATTTTCATTGGTATCCCTTGGTGGAGAGAAGTGCTGCAAGAGTAAAGTGTCCTACCCAAGTTAAAATGTGATTTACCTGAAACACAAAAAAGAAGAGTGGATCCTTATGTTCCTTCCAGTGATGCTCCAGCTCTTGTGCGTACGGGAATTTACAACAGCCCATGTGTATACTAATCTCAAGACAGTTTGTATTTTGATACACATAATCTTTCATTCCACCCTCACTGCCTCGCCACGCCGCTCCATTTGTGATTCCTTTAGGAAACTCCTCCCTTACGGAAGGGCCTGGGCACAATGGTTTCCCATAATGCATTGATGGATGTGAGTTCGCATACGTTGTTGCTAAGTAACGGAAGACATCATCGTCTGGGGTGGGGTTAGAGAGAGTGCGACCTTCAGGGTGTGCGTCAAAGGGATAGTTTGCTACAAGCGAGCCTCCGTGTAAACTGGCTGACAGAACAAACGGGTATTTCTTGATCCACTTCATCATGGCATTAGTTTCAGCTTCATGAATCTTCCGTGTGGTGTCGTAGAGTCCTGTAACACAAGTTGAAGAAGTAAATGAGTGAAAATCAGGGATTTGCTATGGACCCAAAGGAGGTTTGAGCTATTCAGGCTATTCAAAAACCAAGTCAATTCACAGACACAAGCAATTTTGCATTTGCAGTCTTACTGTATATATACCTGGGAAATTCGAGTTAATATCCACGTCCCTTGCATTATTTCTTCCCTTATTGGACAAGCAGTCCCCCTCAGAAGCCACTTCGGCTCCATCTGAATTCAGGACAGGCAGGATGTGTATACGAGTACTGTTGACCAGGCGAGTCACCAAGTCATCTTTACCATAACTCAAGCACAGATGCTGAATCATCAGTAAAAGCATCTCTTTCCCAACCGCTTCATTACCATGGATTCCACCCACATAGCTGAACTCTGGCTCGCCCGCCTCATGCACCCCTGGGTTATCAGAGATCTCCATGACCCAGATGTTGCGGTACTGTACAGTCTGACCAATACTGTATAGCCTTGTGATGCTTGGACACTTTGAGGAGACACCTCGCAGAAAGGCTTCCGTGGCCGCATATTTATGATGAGTAAATCGTGGTTTTTCGTGTAAATTGAACATGACATCAGTCACTGCTTTGTCGTTGATTGTCACCTCTTTAATGACACTTGAATAGCTCAGAGCTTGCGCAGTGATCTTGTACTGCCCCTTTGCTAGCAGTCTGTAGAAGTTAGGACCATTTTGTTTGAGAGTAATGACTGAATTTGAGCCCTTAATGGTCACTGTTGTGCTGTTCAGTGGACGGTGATGTAAGGTGTGAATAACCCCCTGTACAGCTTGATGTGATTTACTCAAGAATCCTAAAAGTGGTTCACGATTTGCCTCCCAAATCTTGACTAGTTCTCTAGTTGGTGGGTACTTGCAACAGGAAATGAAGAAAGAGAGCTGTGGAGTGCCAAGACTCAAGTACGCATAATCTTGCATTGTATAATGAATTTCTTTCCACTGTGCTCCACTCATAATTCCATTCGGAAACCCTGCCGCCAGTTCACTGCAGCCTTTTCCAAGGTGCATTGTGGGATGTTTCTTGGAATAGCCAAGAGCAAGCTCTCTAAACAAGCTGTCATCTGACGTTACAGAACCTTTCACAGAATCGCTGTTAGTCATGTGAACACTCAAGGGATACCTGACAAACAAGATTGAAGCATGAACATAATAACACCAGAACAAAGGTCCTTAGTTTATGACAGTGATCATCCAGTAAGTTTAATTTTCTTGAAAAATTGAGGTCTAAATAAACATGATAAACATGAAATGACTGACTGACTGACTGACGGAGGGACAGCAAACAGATGGACTGACTGACTGATGGACAGACTGAATGACACTGAGTTACTGATTGCTCTTACAGACAGACAGACAGACTGACAGATGGATGGACAGATGTACTGATCAAATGACCAACCATCACCAACTGGCCAGCCACAGACTGACATGGATGCATGCAAGGAAAGAAAGCAAGAAGAAAGGAATGGGGAGCCTTAACTTTGCAGTCAAGAGCAACATAATTAGCATCACCTTGCTAGCATTTCTCCTCCACTGAAGTCTGCCACAAGAGCAAAGTTGTTATCTTTCATCCAAGACTTCACATGCTTAACCTCTTGAGGTTCATCAGCAGCTGATTTGAGAAACTGATTGGAAACAGATTAGATAAATGAATTAAAATAAACATAATTTATCATTTTAAGTAGAGCCTGGTATATTATAAGTAACCACCAGGTAATGTTTCTGAGATCACTGAATAAGAGTGCTCTAAAGCTATCCTGATTTACAATGCCAGCTGAGAGTGCTTTGGTTCAGCAGATGTACCAGCAAAAAAAGGCAAACTATTGAGAAAACCTGATCTACCATAACTTGATATGGATCTCTACCATCCCATCCAAGTGACATTGCCATGGATGCCGATGTAGCATAAAGCGACTAGGAGTATTTCTACTCCCCCCTGGATGGGCTGCTAGTCCATCGCCGGGTTACCCCCAGCATTAAATTTGCTGGTACCCATTTATACACCTGGGTGCAGATAGGCACTGTGAGAGTAAAGTGTCTTGCCCAAGAACACAACATAATGTCGCCAGCCAGGGCTCAAACACGGACCGCTTGATCCAGAGTTGAGTGCACTAACCGTAAGGCCACCACACCTCCACGCTAATTGGCAAAGGGGATAAAAAATAATACCAGGTTATAGAAAATCTCTTATTATGTAAACACCAGTGAAATACCAGGATATTTCATTTTACTAAAAAATCATATCTTCATCGCATGCAGTGAAGATAATATTTTTATCTTTCACACTGTGAAGATATCATTCCTTTTTTCTTTTGTCCCTTTAACTACACTTAAATTTGTTGATGTATGATCAAAACATCTTGGGATCTTCTCTGGTCATCTTTGGCAATCTTCGGAAATCTTTGGTAATCTTCAGAAATGTTTGGAAAATGTGTGGAAGTGTTCGTCTGGCCTTCGGAACAATTTTGGAAAATCTTCGGAAAGTGGTTGGAAATCTTCAGAAAATCGTCAAAAATGTCGTCATTAGCATATTTATACGATAAACAGAATATTACATGCCTGCTTGTGGATACGAGTTGAACACTTGAAGATAAAATTTGTATCCACTCGCGGGCAGGTAATATCCTCTATTTATTATCATTACTCATTCAGATACACTTACCTCCTCAATATTCTTAGGTAATGAACTCTTTTCGCTCTGGGTTAAGTTGTAATAAAAGCTCCTGGATAAGTCATCCTTAGGTTCCAAGGTTCCATTACAGTCTCCTTCAGTTGCCTTTTCATTTCCATCCACATCCACAGCAGGTACAATGTGCAGCACTGTTGTTTGAACAAGCTTTATGATGCTTGCTTCCTTTTGTTGATAAGCATTGCACAGGTGTCCCACTAATTTAAGAAGGAGCTCTTTTCCAACTATGTCAGTCCCTTGTAAACTTCCAACTAGGCCAACACGAGGCTTTCTCTGAGTAAGTCCCACATCCTCAGTGATTTCTAAGGAATAAATCAGCTTTCCTCCCTGACTTGTTCCAATTGTTGTCAGCTTGGTAATGTTTGCACACTTGCTGGCTTGCTCTTGAAGAAAGGAGGTCATCTGATTGTAGTTGTGCTGAGAATAATGTACAGAAGAGTCTGCCAAAGGCAAAAGGAAGGTTATAAATTCATGTGCAGTGTTTGATCTCCAGTGTAATAAACTCCACTGCTATAGAAATTATATGCTATTTCATGCATGGTTCCCATGATTTGTGCAATCCTAATGCCTTATTAGTCCAAACTCAAAAAAAAAATTATTATTATATCTATTAAATGGTTTATGAAATGTTTCTCAGAACACACACCCCAACTTGAACAATATACTGCTGTTATTTTAAAATAGAAAATCACTTCATGAGGTGTACATTATATAATTATACACTGTAATCAAATTGTCACTAATGAACATCTCCTTTGCCTTTATTAGGGCTCGAAAAAAAACTTGAATTCCAGCTTGCCTTTGGGACAAGCAGCTCTAAAATTTTGCTTGCCCTAGGCAAGTCTTAGTTTGCTCTTTTAATGCATTAGATGGCCGACAACTTGCCTGATTCCTTGCCCATTGGGCAAGTGTGAATGAAAGCTACTTGCCCAGAAGGAAAGTCTACTGGCTCCGGACAACTGGACAGCACTTTTTTCGAGCCCTGCTTTATAGGTAAATACCTCTCATGAGCTGATACCTTTTGTAGGCAGACACTTTTTCTTGTCCAGTAGGAGTGTCCTGTTACAGGAGGTTTGATTGTACAAGGAGAATAAGCTACATGTATTGATCTAAATCTTGTTAAACTTACCTTGTGATGGAACTTGAGATGGAACTTGCGTATTTGTAACAGTTGATTTTAATGTTGCAGAACTTGACGGAACAGCAGCACTTGAAGTTGGCAGTAGAACAGAGCTTTTCTGAGAATACTGGGTTTCTTCAGAAGAAAGTTTTGTCTCAACTGGAAAGAGTGTTTGGGCCGTGGAGGTCTGAGCAGCGATGGTGGTTGTGGAAATTGTAGGCTGAACAACTTGTTTCAGTACAAAGTTCAATTCTGTAGCAAGACCAGCAGATACAACAACACTTTTTGTCTCAGAAATGTAGTCTGGAGCAGAGGCAGTGATGAAATATTTACCAGGGACAACAAGTCTCCAGTAATCTCCATCATGTGCAGAAGTGATGTTATGCCTTATTTCTGAGACAGAGATGGTTGCGTGACTGATTCCTGTCCCCTGGTCATTCTTTACGACTCCTTTGATGCCAGTGTGAACTTGAGACATAAATGTTAAAAGAGAAACTTTGTGGGCATCCCAGTATGACTTCAGCTTAGACTGGGCAGGAAACTTCACACAACTCATCTCTATGGTAAGTTCAAGGCAGTTTGAGTGGACGTAATTGTAGTCTTGCATGCCACCTTTAACAATGTACCATTCTGCACCATTAGTAATGCCGTCTTTAAAATACTCATCATCATAGCCAGGGCAGGGACGTCCTGCACTCATTGTTGGATGTGCTTTAGAGTATGAGAGTGCTAATTGTCGAAACACAAGGTCATCTGGACTCTTGCTATAGCCTTGCCGTCCTGATGGTGTATCATCAAATGGGTAATTTGCAACAATGGAGCCCCCATGAAGGTTGGCTGACAGCACAAATGGAATAGAAGTGATCCATCTCATAACAGCAGATGTTTCAGGCTCATGATTTCTGTTCAGGTAAGGAAAGAACTGATCTGGAAAGTTCCTGTTCAAGTCAACATTATGGGCATTTTCACGGTTGGCCACTTCGTACCCATCAGGATTCATTGACGGCATGATATGAATGCGAGTGTAATCCACAAGTGCTGTTACAACAGGGATTTTGTGATAGTTCTCACAAAGAGCTTGAATTAAGAGTAAAAGAGTCTCTCTTCCAACCACTTCATCACCATGCATGTTTCCTACATATTTAAACTCCGGCTCTCCTACTTCATGCATTCCCGGGTTGTCAGTAATTTCTATTACCCAGAGCTCCCTGTTTTGAACTGATTTTCCAATGGTGTACAGTCTAGTAATGTTTGGGTATAACTTTGCTATAGTCTGAAGAAATGTTGTCATGTCATTGTAGTTATGATTTTTAAAGATTCTTGGTTTCTCCCAGTCATTAACAAGTTGAGTAAATCCTTTACTTGTAGTTGGAATACTTGTGAATGGAACTTCAACATTTGGGTCCAATGCTTGAAGGCTAGACGACAAGTCTCGCTTGGTTCTGAAAGTCCTTTTCCTCAACCATGGAATATCACATGTAGACATTCTGAAGTTATTTCTGTGGCTATGTTTATCTCTTTCTAAGACAAATTCTAACTCAGTAGCATCCCCAGAGCTGACTCTAACATTATGCACTGTTTTGCACCTGTGACCTGAAGCACAAGCCGTGACTGTGTAATTATTTCTCGGTAACAAAATTCGCCAAAAGTCACCAGGTAATGCTGTTGTTACATTTTTGTCAAGTCCTTGAACATGAACAACGGCTCCGTGAATACCACCTCCATGTTGGTTTTTTACAAATCCTTTAATACCCCGATGCACTTGCTCCATATATGTCAAAAGAGCCTTTCTGTTGTTATACCACTCTGTCAGCAAATGCGATCTGGGTGGGTATTTGCACCGAGACAATTCAAGCGTGATTTCAAAACAATTACTTATCAAGTAATTCACATCTTGCATGCCCCCTGGGACATCATACCAGTAGGCACCATTGGTGATGCCGCCTTTAAACTCATCCCTGTGCCCTCCCTGTTTACTCATTGTCTTGTGATTTGTCGCGTATGTGCTAGCTAAATGTCTAAAGATTTCATCATCTGGCGTTGCACTGTATTCACCAGTCTCTGTATGGTTCTCGTTGCTATCAAAAGGATAGCTAGCTACCAGTGCCCCGCCGTGTAAATTCGCCGACAGTACGAAAGGATGTTCACGAATCCACCGCAACATAACTCGAGTTTCTGGCTGTGCTGAATTTATGTCGTACTTGTCCCAGCTATTAAATTGATCGGGGAAATCACGATTAAGATCGACGCCATTGTGATTATATCGTCCAATTATTCCGGAACATCCTTTTTTTGCCTTCTCAAATCCATCTGGGTTCATAGACGGCATAATGAATATATCTGTGGTGTTAACCAATCTCGTGACACGGTGATTTATTCCATAATTCTCGAGTAAATAAGCGATGAGATAGATCAAAACTTGCCTTCCTACCACTTCATTACCGTGCATGTTTCCAACGTATTTAAACATAGGTTTTCCTGGCTTCCTAACGTATGGATTGTCGGTGATCTGCATAGCCAGTAACTCACGCTTCAATGCTGACGTTCCAACTGGATGGAGTCGAGCAATATTTCTGTGTTGATGTGCGAACGTACGAAGCAAACATTCTAAATTTTCGCTGTTTATATAGCCTTGGTGTACTAATGACCGAAGTTTCCTTTCTTGAGTAACATCGCAATACCTATAAGAGTCTGTACCGGCGATGAAAGCGAGGATGAGGAATATTAGCAAAGAGAAGATGACATACTTAACGGCCGCCATGTTTTTCATGATTTATTTCCTTGAATGGGTGGTCTATTATTGAAGGTCTATTGTCTTTTTACGAGACACGTGACAGGGGGCTAATAGACACTCACGCCCCCACCCCTGGAATTGATGCGTGCTAAAATTCATGCATCTGCTCACTTTTTGTAATCTGAAAACTCACAAAAATATGGATTTGCTTTTATGCAAAACACTTTCAATTTTTCATACAATTTTTTCGGTTTTATTGCCACGTCAAAATCACTTTTTTATCTGTCGATCTGCAAATACACCTATGTACACAACAAAAGTTATTTACCAATTCAGATATTGGAATTTTTAAGTCTCTCTAGTCACTAGTATTACATCGAATTACTTTCAGGAATTCAAGAATAGAGAAAGTATCTTTGTAATATTTGAACCACATTTTTAACCTTTGAGTGAAATGTAAAAGCGCTAACGTTTTTCAAACGCTTGTAAAAAAAAAAAAACAACAACAGAATGCCACTATTGAGAATTAGCCGACCGAACCACGAAAGAGACATATACATGTGTTTTCCCCTGTAAAGTGTACTGTCGAAAATACACACATAATTTTTTCCGTGTTTAGAGTTGAATTGGATAACTGCCGTGATTTTTCCTCAGGTTTGACAGAAATTCACACATAAATTCTAGGATTATGTATTATTCATTCGTGATATCAAGGTAAATATATTGTTACAAAGTTTCACTCCTTCGTTTTCTCGGCTATAATTTCAATAATGAAATCCTCGAATCTGATTGGCTCTCGGCACGACTTAATTGACAGCTATTTCACGAAGCAAAATTAAAGCAGCTTGGGAAATCGTGAGGTAAAGGGTATTTAGTATTTCTAACATTACTCCCGCCACCTGGTACAGCTTTTTTGTGCCTCTCAGCCTCTGTGATTTATATTAAATTAGTACTTTCATTTATATATGACATCTCGCTGCCTGAATCATTACAGATTACAACTTTATTTAGTTTTTTTTCTGATTCAGTACTTCCTCATTAAGTCTGGAATTCCCCATTCAAACGGGTCCTCCCGCGAAAGGTCTGAATTTTTCCCGCCCCGTTATTGGAATAACAACGTCCACCTTAAGGCGGGGGTACACATGAAAACACACCATCTTTTCAAACTTTTTGCATCGCTATACGATTTAATTCCAAACCATGGCAAAAAGTATACATTTTTAGTAAGGTTAAAGACCAAAGATTATGAAAATAAATTGTACCCAAGAACTTGTTGTAACCTGACACCGGCTAATTAAATCTGCCACCTGCTGAGGAATACCAGGGCTTACTTGAGAAAAGATAACTCCCACAAGAACTGATCAAAATGAATAATTTTTACATTTTTTGAAAGAAGACAAATAGCTTACTGTTTTAAGAATTGCTGGTTTTCAGTGTCGCGTAATTCAAAATAGATCATAATAAAAATCAAAACCGGTCAATAGATAAAGTCCAGGATCTGGGAGATGAAAGAAGGTAAATATGCAAAGACTCTCGCCAAAATTCTGGTCACACCAACTTTT